GTCTTAGGAAACAGAGCCAAAGGGTTGTAGCTTAGACTATTCCACAACGCAGCAATCAGGTGTGTGATGTAGTGAAGTTGTTCAGACAAGTTGCAACAAATGTTGAGTCTGGGAACTCAGGGGTAAGTCAGAGGTTAACACCTCACTGACTTTTCAGAAACAAGGAGTAACAAGATGAATGCTTGGAAGCTTGTAAAAGACGGGGAAGTATGTGATAGTCGATTTACTGTATTGTCTGCTTGCCCTTTCTTAAGGAAAGGGCAATCCTATTTATGCCAAAGGAGTGTAGTTCTCTCATTTTCCATGACTTTCCATGACTAACCAGGCTTGGTAAATGTATTAGAAATCAAGTGCGACCCACAACTAGCTTGCTAATCATGTAGTGAACGTAAGAGAATCCCATAGAACCATCCAGTGTTCGGCAGATACTACCCAGGTAGTATCTGGGTCCTCGCCAGGTAAGGTAAGTATCTGAGCGACTTTGCTCAGGTAAGGTAGGTATTTACAGATACTTTAGCAGGTAGTTGAGCCTCAATTCCGTATACAAAAATGACGCTTTTGATATTTGAAATAGATAATGATATGTAACTAGAATATGTAACTAGAAAAGTGAAACTCGTGACAAATATAATAATAAAATAGACAGCCCCTATTCCTATTCTTCTGCCTCATCATCTGCATCATCACCGTCGCTGTCGGCATCTGGTAAATAACCCCAATTCCGTAAGCAAAGCAGATATCTAATTGTCGATGGCGACAATCTATTCCTTTTCTTAGTAATGATATCGCTACCATTGCTAAATACCCGTTCTGATGGTGCTGATGTCGCAGGAATTGCAAGATGGTCTCGAGCAACTTGAGCAATTATTGGATATTGATATTGCTTTGCAGACCAATATTTGAGAATATCAGTATGCTCACCAGGCCGTGGTTCAAGCATCCATCGTTTCCATTCTGGTTCTTCAAATGATATACCCTCTGATGCAAATAAATCTTCATCAGAATCTGGTTCTTGCACTCTAGTATTTGCATTTCCTAATGCATCTGCAAGAGCTGTTTCACGTTCAATACGCTCTGTATCAAGATGATATTGCCGTGTCTTATATGTTCTACAAACATCTTCAAACTGTGCTCTTGCCCGTGTGATTCGTACATGATCTGTACTATCTGGATATATCTTTTTAAACACTGTATGGTTCATCCGTGGATCGCAAATTGTAGCTACAGCTGAGTGCTTACATTGCTGATTTGTTGCAAGAGTATAATACGCGTGAAGCTTTTGATAAGCTACTGTGCATGCAATACCAATTGCTGAGTGCTCGCCAACTTCTTGTTGCATCTTCTTAACTTTATTTATCATTTTAAGATAAAGTGGAATAGCAAAGTTAAGTGACGGATATGTATCACTTTGTAGCCGTTTTGATGGTTTGAGAAATATTAAGAACAGTCGTTCAAGATCTTTAATAACAGCCCAATCTCCTGTAGTTAATGCAATATCTTTCATACTAATATCAAGCTGTTGTGTTATGCATACTGCTGTGATTGGTATTTGGAGTTTTAATGCTGTATCAAGCATACGATGTGTTGAATTCCATCGTACTGGCATATCAAGTGATAGTTGCTGTGGTTTTAAACCTATAGCTTTGACTTGTCGTTGTAAAGCATCCTTCCATGCTCGTCGATTACGAAAGACATAGATATGTCTTCGTAGCTTTGCAAGAGCATTCATGACTTCCACATGACTATCTCTACTAAATGGAATCCGAGCTGCACCTTGCTCACACCGGTATGTCTCTGTCTCTACATCTGGTTCTGCTTTTAAACTCGTAAGAGCGGCTTGAACTGCGAGATTTATGATATGTGCAATACACCGGACATTGCCTTCTTTGACAGTAAATGTCCAAGGTTGTTGAGTTGATGTTTGGGCGTTGCTAGCCAATTTCTCATATTCTGAGAGCATCACAGTATTTGATGATGCGTTGTCTCGGGTGCATGTAAAGATAGCGCCTGTAATAGCTATACTATCTGTTACAGCTGCTAATTGCTGAGCTAAGTATTCACCGCTATGAATAGGCTCTTGAAGATGTATCACATCAAGCAATTTTGATTTCTGCTGCCATTTATCATTAATCCAATGAGCGGTAACAGCAGCATACTCTGTATAGTTCCGTGCAGACCATGCATCTGTCGTTATGGATATCCGGCCTCCATGTATAATATGAGAATGGAGTTCAAGCTGTAGTATGCCTCGGTGATATGAGAATTGGCGTTGTAGTTCTCGGTGCAATGTTCTTGACGAAAGTGATAACACAGATGGACTTAAGAACCGTACTAATTGACGATATGAATAGCTTTCGATAATGCGTAAAGACAGGTTATTAGATACTATAAACGATAGCACTAACTCTCTATATTTGGCTGGATTGTTTGTTGGTCTTGATTCATGGGTCGCTGGTCTCTGAGGCTCAAAAAATGATGATGTGCTGCTAGATTGACTTGAAGGCGCTGTATTCTTGTGTTTAAGAGCATCATAGATTCCTTTATGCTTAAGACTATAGTGTTTCCAAAGATTGCCAGTTGAAGCAGCAGCTTGAGCATGGGTTTGAGCTGCGGGCGAGTATCCGCAATTAGGCTGCATACAGCATACTTTGATAGTTAGCGGGTTGCTCTCAAGTAGTATTCTTGAATATAGTTCCTTCGTGAACAGCAGCGACTGTGTTGGCGGTAGCATTTGGCTAGGCGGGTGTAGACGGACAGGAATTGGATTTGATTGCTGAAAAGGGGTAAAAAGCCCTGGTAGGGCTGGCTCATCGTGAGGATTATAGCCATCAAGGTCCGTCGGCACGTCTGACAACGGAGAGTCACTCATTTTCACGGCAATTATCACCATATCAAGCATGAAGACGAGTATTTCAACGTTAGCATTTGTGCGGCTTGGCTACACTTGGCAATACTTGGCATGTATCTGGGTAAGTATCTGAAAATACCGGGATACTCAGGTATTTTGAGAATGAGCCCAGGTAGGTAATTACCCAGGTAATTACCTGAACACCACAGGTAATCAGGTATCTGTGCCGCACACTGGAACCATCTCTTGGGTTCCTAGCCTATAGGAAGTGAAAAGGAGGTCCAAGGTCAGAGTACCTATAGATAAATTATGTCATAACTTAACCAATCTTGTGGGTAACTAAGGAGCGATGACGTGTAATGAGTCATAGAGGGTTGTAGAAGCTTCTAGAGCTATCGTTCATGTTCCTAGGCCTCTAGTTGGTAGAGATATGCCATGTGGTAGTATTGGCCCACCCCCTTAAGGAGGAGATTTTCTTAATAACTTGTTCAATGAGTGTTCAAATGATATGCCGTGATGTATGTAGCATAAACAGATGTAGTAGAAGAGTTTGCAGCAATCGTTGAGTAGTATTGCTTCTGTTGTTGGTGTGATAAGCCAAGATATGTATGATGACTTGTAGGTTTGAGGAGGAGATTTCTAAGTTTGCTCTTGAGTTTGATAGCAAACTGAGTGCAATGAATGTCAGTATGACACTGTATCAAAATTCTGGATTGCTTGTTGAATTGCACGTCGGTGCCAATGTTTATATTGTGCAAACACAGTAACATCTAGCGGTTGTAGAATATGCGTAAGATGAGACGGAAACACATGTAAGTGTATATTGTGTTGATGTGCAAGTATTATAAACTCTGGAACTTCATGTGAGATATGAGAGTCCATTATTAACAATTTCGTTCTTATAGACGGTGTATGTTGAATAAAATGCTGTATATATTCCATTGCAAGCTCAGAGTTTGTATATCCGGAATCGGATACTGCAACTTTCTTATCACCATGTAGATTGTCATGGTACCAACTTTCCATGTGTAATTTTCCTTGTATAATAAGGAACGGTGGTGGAAGCAGCTGAAATTGTCTCTATAACTGTAAGACTTTGTCTGTTCTCTGGAGCTTGTATATAAAGCTATAAATATTAGAATAATATAAAGTAAGATAAGTAGAAACAACTTACCTCCTTTACTGTAGATGGTACCAACACATGTTCACCAGTGCTCATTCCTACACGGAATCCAACTTCATCAAAGTTGTAGATATCACCCGCAGTAATATCTAGTTGATTACACACATCTTTAAATTCATCAAACCATTCTTTAATAGCTGATACTTCATGAGATGCAACCCGTGCTGCTTCAATTGGCCGGGTTTTTATTGTATGGAAGTTGTGTTGTTGTGTCTTAATCCATGTCTGGAACCACCGTTGTGACGGTGGTGCACACGTTGGAGTTTCTGCTGCACGTAGTTGGCAGATGGCACTGAACACCATAGGCTTAGTTGCACCGTACCCATTTTCGTATGAGCGTTGGATGTATCTTTGTATAGCTGTAACTTGTAGATCAGACAGTACTCTGTTCTGGCCTCCGCGTGGCACAGCGGTGCGTTGTGGTGATGCGCGTCGTTGTTGTAGTCGTATAGTCCGGAGTGTACTTGGGTTTACTCTGTACATCCGTGCATGGTTGCGATTCTACCTATCTATCAAAGGACGAGTTCTCATTGCCAACTCTCTTCTCTGTTGGGTTTTCATTTAAAAATTCAATGGCATTTAAAAGAGCTTCATTTTTATTTATTTCAACTACCGGCATAGTTGTGGTTGTAGTTGTGCTCGTTGTCAGTCGTGTTAATGGTCGGTCGTGTCGCGTCGCGAGTCCGCTCCCGAAGTGTCCCATAATCGCTTTCGCGTCCCAGTTCGCTTTCGCCAACCGCCTCCAGGCGGTGGTTTGAGAACCAACGATTATCGAGTTTTTGCCCATATATTTTAGCTGCCTACAATGATATCGACTTACTGCGACTCGACTGTAACATACAAATTGTGAAACCGCGCATTTCACTGCCCCTCATTTCTCAACCACACATCTCGCTTCCTCCAACCTTGAGCGAAGCGAAAAGTTTGGTCATGGCGATTACGAGCTGTTCAATTGAAGTATCTTTTCATATAAATTACTATGTAATGGTACATACAAATTTTGGTGGTTGCGAACGCTCTTTTGCTTACCCCGAACCTATGCAATAGGGTCGGTTCCGACGATTAATTGATTACTTTACTCCTACTTATGGTTGCGCCGGCCAACTCGCGAGCTGGAAAACTCACGGTGGGGCCGGAACATATATATTAAAGACCTCATTAATGAAAAGGGTAGATTTGACGGGCTTATATGCAAACTACGTCGGGAGGAAGACTAGAGGGAGAACGACTCGATCAGTTCTTAACTGCATATGTCTCCATCATAGTCTCGAGGTGCTCCACCTCGACTATTTTAGCCATTTCCTTAGTCTGGGCTCCTCTGATCTTGACAAGAGATTCTTCACTGGGATGATAATGAAGATCTTTGAATGCTCCAGTGCGGTCTAAAACGGTGCGGGCACGCAGATAGGGATCCAGCTGCCAGTAATTGGAGCGCAGCCGCTCAATAAAGTCAGATCTCTGATCCTTGCATGCGGCGATCTCTGCCTCGTCTTTGGAAGTAGTCGCCGCGATCCAAGCTGAGGTGGCGAGAAGTAAGCTGTCACCGAGCCTCTGTCGCTCGGTCAAGAGAACATCTCGAGTCGCGGTATCTTTCATCTTATCGTTCTCGTTCGGAGTAGGCTCGAAGTACTTGTATGCCCAGTTGTTATCGCCGCCGAGTTCTTGCACGATTTGCTCACGGGAAATAAACTTCTCGAGGTCTGCAGCGTTATTCGTGAAGTAGATTTTGGAGGCGATGACAGGGTCCAACCATCCTTTGATGAGCCTCCAAATTCCTGTGGGTCGAAAGAAGGGTTAGAATTTGTCAACGCTGGTCTTGAACTGCAATGCGGTCCTAAGATTCATGGCAAGGATGTGGAATGCAGACCAGAGAAAACCCACGGAGCCTTGTGGATGAGCAATACGCCCAACGACTCGGGATAGTTTGTTTCCAAACATTTAATGATGAATTTGACAGGAGGGTATTCCTGTAGCCACTCCTTCCTCTCGAAAGAAACGGGAGGAAGAAGAACAATAGTCAGTATTTATCGGTGTTTCCAAAATGTTGAGGTGAGGAGCAAGACAAGAACTTACCATGTTCGAAAGCGAAAACCCTGTCATATCGAAAACAACTGCCTGTAAGTCCATCAGTGAGTCCTGGCTCTGTCTCGTCTCCCGGAATAAGTGTGCAAAGGACCTCGCCAGGATGATGCATAAAAGCGGAGCTTAACACGTACCGCCATTTCCGCTGGGTCAACCATCATGAGCCGCACAGATTCAATAAAATGAACGATATACCGTTCCATCGTCTCTTCGCTTTGCTCGCCGGGTCGGTGGAGACGGACCCTCACTACGCATATTGGCCGGCCAACTCTGTCAACGCCGTGAATGAAACTTTTACCCATCCGTACCTGTGCAAGGAAATCGTGGCCGTTCTTCTCCTTGCTGCCATTGGACGTGCTCTGGGAGAGTTGCAGTGCCTGTAGCTCGCCCTCAGCCATCAGCTGATCCACATTCATCACCTTCGTTCGCCACTCAATTACACCCATCATCATGTTGAACGCCTTGATGACATCCCATTTGCGTGCCCGCAGGAAGCGAAGCAGGAAGGCGTCGGGGTGGTCGTGCCGAATTGTGTTCAGGAAATCCATGCGCAGCAGGCACGAGGCCTTGCCAAACGGAACCTCCTGGCTCAAAATTCTCGTTTCGCCAGAGGGGTTGCTACTGAGTGAAGAGTGTTTTCCATGCTGGTGTTGTACTGGGTCCTGAGAATCGGCACCATTTGCAGAGGAGACTATTAATGATTCGTGGGTGTCACTGGCCTTCAGTATTATCGTCCATAGTTGCTGCAGCTTTACTTCTTGGTCTACAGAGAGGTAGCCAACAAATCCGGAGCCTTTTTCGACAGTAGCCATAGCGAATTTCAGATGTTTGGGGCGCTTCTCTCCTTTGCTTGGAAATTAAACAGCGCGGAAGAAGATCTCGTCTATACCCCACGAACTTTGTTTTGAGGTTTTGCGTCCTATAAGCCAGGCATTGCGTCAGACTTTTATGTCGATCAACATGATGTACCCCGCCTCTATTCGCAACGCACTTATCTTTGTGCCGAGGCTTCTACCACACGACAACCGCACGAGTTTCACGCTTATTACCTACGTCTCTGCAGGATATTACCACACGTCATGTGCCTTTCGTTATCGTCGGGCCTTACCAAGTAGAACATGGATTGCGTTTCCCCGCGCTCATAAAACCGGGTCATCATCGCACTACGCTTGTCGCCCACTTGGCGTATGGTTTGGCATATGTCAAGTGGGTGTACAAAATAGCATTCATGTCACAAAGGGTAGTAATAATAAATGTGTCGATATGTGGACACAATAGCCACATATCGACACATATTACTACTACTGAATATTAAAATTCGGTGGGGCAATCAATGGGTATTCGTACTCAGCACCGATCCATGATATTATACAGGAGTGACGCAAAGTAGCGAATCAATATCCAGCTGAAACAGAGGCTATTGATCAATTCGACGTATATATAGTGCCTACTCCATTTTTCCATCGACTGAACCTACAGTGTTATCGCGCCTCAGGATGATTGACCTCAGTCAAGGACTCGGTGCCTAGGTGGCCCAGCATACAAATACAACCACTACTATTGGAATACCACAAGAGATAGGCCAAGATCCTGCACTGTGACCCCGGTGACAATCAAGAGAATAAGTTCGTGATCAACCTTGAGCTTCGCTCAAGGTTGGTCACGACGATATAGTACCCCACCGTCCCCTCCTTTTCTTTTAGGAATAGTGGTTCCACCCCCATATACCCCGCAGCCCTAGCTTAATCGGGCACGCAAATCGATATTATTTTCACGTGCCCCGCAAATTACCGAGCCCCTCACCTTCCATGAGCTACCTAGGCATTATTGAGGATACAGGTCAGGGGGAACACTAGGATAAACTCGAGATGAATTGCCAAGGCTCGCTTAAACGGCACCCACCACCAACAACCTCATCCGACTCAGCTTCACCTACGCCCATTCTGTGCCGGGAATCACGATGAGGTACGGAGGAAGCGTTCAAAAGTTTTGTCCCACGCTAGGAAACGCCACAGTTCACAATTTAGTTGCAGACTCGATTTGTCGAGTGGTAATTGTAGCAAGCTCTATATGACGTTTAATAAAGTGTTGGATCCATTCTTTGCCAATTGGCGGGTATCGTGCATTTCTTCCGCCAATTCCTTTATTAGCTGGTGTCTAATAGGGCGTCCTATCGATGAGCATTGGCAAATCCACTTAACCAAGGTACTCTCTTCAACTGTAGATAAAAGTTGTTGGTTTCGTCGTGCTTGCACTCGAGAATAGCCTCCTGACACGCGATGTGTCAAAGTCATCCGATTAACTTGAAAGTGTTGTACAGTATTTGCTTAGTCACCAGAAACACGATTAGGCGAGGCAGGATCATTATGGCCTGAGCTCCAACAGTAGATAGAAGAATAACATCATCATCGCCTCATATTGATACGGCCCATACCTGGATGCGTGACAAACTGGGGGTCTTGCCCGAGATTCACCTTTGAGTGAATGGTATGGGCCGTAGGCAATTGAAGCTGAAGACATCCAGAAAACCAGCAGCACACCGGCCTCAGTGAACGCAACAGCAAACCTATTGAAGAAGCCCACAGATCACCAGCAGCACTCAGAACACCGGCCATAGCGTCACAGAACACCAAATTGGAAGTAGGCGGTTGTTGGGAGTCCCAACGAGAAATCCGGCAGAATTTGGAAGCTTTTCCGCGAGAAAATCGGGGGCATGAAATCTATTTGTGTGTCCTTGCCATACATTATTGTTTTCGAAGCATTTGGGAATGGAAGGAGCGACTTCAAATGGGTCGCCAAATCGGGAGGCGGTCAGAGGTAGGCCCACTTGAGAGGGCCAATCAGAGGCTACGGATGGTCACCAGACCCCAAGTCGGAAGGTGCAGGGGTGCGAAGCGAGGTCCTCAAGCTCAGTGTTTCGCCCATCTTTCTTCTTCAACTTCTTCATCTTCTTCATCATCGGTCTCAGAATACAGCTCAAGGTCTTACGGGCGGTGTTCAGGTCAGTGTGAGCTTCAAAGTGTCAGAAAAGTTCTTCTTGTTCGAAAATCGTGTGTTAGAAGGTGTTTGAAGCCTCAGGGGAGGTGTGAGCACTTGAAGGCTGTGAGAACACTGTTGTCTGTACTCAAAACAGTGAGGGAGTGTTTGAAGTGTGTGAGAGAAAGGGAGTGTTTGAAGTGTGTGAGAGAAAGTGAGTCTTCGGAGTGTGTGAGGAGAGGTACGGCAAGGTTTCCAGTTCCTCTACAGGCTTATACGAGCGAAGGAAGGTTGTCAGGAAGGTGTGAGTGTGCGGAGTACATGGAAGGGAGTCTCCCGGATCAAGAACCGGTCTGGGATTTCTCAGGGTATAGGGAAAGTGAAGAGTTGAGCGTGTCAGAATCCCACGAAGACGCTAGTCTTGAAGAACTGAGTCGCGTCTTGATTGATCCATTCACAATGTCAGGATTTGGAGCTGGAACACCGGCCACAGTCAGCAACGGGCCGACCCAGGATGTCAAGGCCTTCGTGGATACTATCTCATGGAAGCATACCATCTCTCGGTCGGATTATGAGAAGATGTCCCCAGACCTCAATGGGGAGCTAGATGAATGCCTTGTGCTTTATCTGTTCTCCAAATTGGACTGCACGTTGGTGGACAAATCTTGCGGAAGATCAGAAGGCGAATTATAAGAGAGTCACGACGCTCCTCATTGCGCGATACGGAAGGGATGAGGTCCGTCAGCGCCGTTCCCTGCACCAACGCGTTGCAGCTGAGCTGAACAATTTGCACCAACGTGGGAGGAGTATTGCTGAGTATGTCGCGGAGGCGAAGGACATACACACGAGAATTGGGGCCGATCAAGAGCAGACCTTGTCGGATAACTTTGTTAACAATATGACCGATCCCGGCTTCGCCAACATCCTCAGAGCTCTCACGTCGAGGGAAGATTTGTCGTTTCTGCAGATTCTTGACACTGTCATCGAGATGCAAGGACCGACATACGTTGAGAAAAAGCCGGCTCACGAAGAAACTCTCAAAGAGTCAAAGAATGCAAACCGCCTCATGAGAACAATGGCGAACGTGATGGAGAGATCCCAAGGCCAACGTTCCCGAGGAAATCAAGCACCCTACAGTGCTCAGAGGCAGATTGTGGAATACAGGCCACAACAAGTGCCCCTTGAATACCAAGGCCCTCTGCCGCAATTTCAAGTGCAGCATTTTGAACAGCAGCAGCAGCAGAGGATCACCAGTCAACCGAATATCCGCCAAACTGAGTCATATGCTGCCCCTCCTCCACAGTATCAGCAATTACACCAACTTCAGCAACAGCAACAAAGTGGAGCCCGGAAGCAATGGGGAGGATCTGCGAACCAAGGTCAGAGTCACTCTGCTGAACCTAATGGGGGAGGGTATCGACCCGGAGGTGGGAAAATCCACGCGCAATGCTTCAAATGCGCAGAATTCGGTCATTACGCTCCGGATTGTACAAACATGCCAGCGTCAGAAGAAGTGCAGCAAGCTGCAAGGGATTTCGCGAATCAGAAGAGAACTGCAGCCATCCAGAGGGCCTCAAGCAATTCCATGAATGCTGGACCGCAAGGCCGCATGGATGCACTGAACAAATTTGGCCAAGGGCAAGGGAGGATCACGGAAGTTTCAGCAGTTCAAGGTGCAAAGACGTGGGCAATCCATGATGCCCAAATGGCTGCAGCAACCAATGGAGTGCTGGGCCAGGGGCAAAGACATCAGGATACTGTGGGAATGTATGATCAGGAGTCTGACTTCTCACGGGTCAGGAATACTACGTTCAGTGGGAGTGTCTCTGTTTTCCAGGAACCCTACGTCTCAAATGCTACGGTGTCATGCCGGGAGTGAGCGCTTTCGCTCACTTTGTTGACGACGACGCTGGCGGAGCGGACACTCTGGAGAATCTTGTTCACTTTTTGCATCACTTCTATTTTCCCCGGTTGGCCTGGGCCAAACTTCGACTAAACCCTGAGAAGGCTCGATTTGGCAGTGCGAATGTCCGCATCCTTGGCCATGCCCGCACCACTCATGGACTGCGGCCGTCTGCTGACAAAATCGCAGCATTCCGTGATTGGCCGGTACCTGTTGAACCCCTGGATTTGGAACGGTTTCTCGCGACTATCCCCTTCTTGAAGTCTTATGTTCCGGGAAGAGCAGACTTGTGCCAGAAACTCAAGACTGCTATCATCACGGAGCCTGGGACAGTGAAAAATAAGAAGGGCAAGGTTGTTAACCGGAAGCTGGCTGTTGGTCTGAATTGGACTCCAGAACATGACCGCATCTTCGCCCAACTCAAGCAGGCAGTTTGCGAGACTTGCGTGGTCTCTGGGGATGAGAACAAGCAATATCATTTGGCCACCGATGCGAGTAAGACCGGTCTCGGAGGAGTTCTTTACCAATTATGCGACAACAAGCCGTATGTCGTTTGCTTCCTTTCTTACCAACTCACTGCCACTCAGAGCTTATGGCACACCACTGAACGGGAATCATTCGCGGTATTTAAGTGTCTGCAAGAGTGTGACTGGTTGCTTTTAGGATCCAAATTCCCAGTTAGAGTTTATACAGACCATTCAGCCCTCTTGTCTCTTATGAAATCGGATGACCCTCACGGACATATTGCCCACTGGCAACTTTTCTTGTCTCGCTTCAATCTCGAGTACATCCATGTACCCGGGCGAGAACTGGCCGTTGCGGATGGGTTATCGAGATTTAACAAGGTTACATCCTCCTCTGTCACGTCAGCAAACACCTTCCTCTCTCCTGCGGATCTTGGTTATGACTCCGAAGAAGAATGTGACCTGCACGCTCTCGCTGTGGAACTCCGGCCGCAACACAAATGGCCGCCTGATTACGCCCCATTAGACCCCGAAGACCTTGGTGCTCAAGATATTCTCAAGGGTTGGGAACGTTGGGTTGAAGATCCGTGGTATGGCGACATTGTGAAGTACAAAGCAACCAATGCGCTCCCTCTCCAGTCGGAGATGACTTCTGCTGAGCATCGCAACCTTCGTCGTCTCGCTCTCAAATTTGTCTTATGGGATTCTACTGCTGGCCCTAGATTGATATACATTGAAAAGGATGGTTCTCGCTCTCGATGCATTCAAAAGGAGAATGTTGAAATCGAATTGCGGGCATTACACACTCTACACGGTCATTTTGCGGCTGGTATTCTGCAGAAGGAAGTGGTAGGAAAAGCATATTGGCCTTCTAGGATGCGGGACATTGACAAATATTGTAAGTCTTGTCCAGCTTGTCAAGCTGTTGGTCCGCTACGCCCAAGTGTCGGGTTGAATCCTATTTTTGAAATGACTCCGTTCGATTTACTCGGTATGGATTTTCTCGGACCAATATTTCCTAGGTCTCGCAAGGGGAATGCGTACATCCTGCTCTCAGTTGAATACATGACTCGATGCCTAATGGCCAAGCCGTCTGCGCGTGCGAAATCATCTACCGTCGTCTCCTTTATTGACGACACCATATGTACCCCATTCGGAACTCCTGTCTCTATGTACTTCGATAATGGGAAACATTTCACGTCTGATCAAACCATGGGACATCTTAAGTCGTGTGGCATACAGGCCGTAACGGCACCGATCTCTCATCCTTCATCTGTTGGCCTCGCGGAAAGGTACGTGCAGATGATCTTTTCTGACTACCGCAAAATTCTTCAACAGCAACCCGAATTGATATATGAGTGGGATGACCTACTCCCCCACGTTGTGAACATCATCAATACTAGAAAGGTATCTGTCTACGGTGTCTCCCCAGCTGAGCTGCTCTTCGGATTCAAGCCTCGATTTGTCCCAGGAGATTTGTCGATTGATGAGGAAATTCGTGCTGAACTGGTTGCCCAGCCACAATTCCTCCCGGCCTTTGATCAAGAGCCGAATGTCTCTGCGGTCGGTGTTCGCCTCGCCAAACTTGATGAACTCCGCGACACTGCCACCCAAATCCGTCTTCGCCGTCAACTCAAACAAGCTGAGGAGACTTCTGTTTGTAATTGCAACTGGTGTTTTGTCTGCGAAACACGCTGTGAGAATTATTTCCGCAACATCTCCAAATGGTATCCGTGAGAATATCTGTTTGTAATTGCAACTGGTGTTTTGTCTGCGAAACACGCTGTGAGAATTATTTCCGCAACATCTCCAAATGGTATCCGTGAGAATAGCATTCTACGTTGGAAGGAAATCTGTTTGTAATTGCAACTGGTGATTTGTCCGCGAAACACGCTGTGAGAATCATCCGTTTAGTAATTCATCAGCTGCTGCGTCTGCGGCAAGGACAGTTCGAACATGGCCCTCAAATGTTAGTTATGTAACATCTCTGAATGGTATCCGTGAGAATATCGTTCTATGTTGGCGGGAAATCTGTTTGTAATTGCAACTGTAACAACCCTGATTTATGTGCCATGTCGGGAAGGTGCGTTGTATGTCATGCTAGAGTTGTGCTGTATCGACTCTGTTTAGGGTGCGAAACCAGGGTTTGCTTTGTTCGCTTTGAGGTACATTAGTTGTGGTCCGAGTGGACTCCGAATCCCATCCGTGACACGTTCGGGTTGAACTTTGCTTTGTTTGCTCTGGGGTACATTCCTGGTGGTCCGAGTGGACTCCGAATCGCAACCGCGAAGCATCCGGGTTCAACTGTCCTAGGTATGAAAGGAGAAGTGGCTGCGCTAACCCGATTCAGAGTTCATTATTGTAAGCAAGAGTATGAGTATGTAGCCGTGCCCACTTCTTCTTGTTATCTCCAAACAACAACACCAGCGACTGTCCATCCGAGAACAGTAAGTGACCCCTTCTTATGGATTGTGTGGCAGGTGCTAATCAATTGGATAGAATATTTCCAATCCACGATAACGAGTAGGTGATGGGAGCGCATTGGCGCGTGGGTCATAACGTGTGCTGGGCTGACGGGATTCACAGAATTCCAACTTGACGCTGCCGATTCTGACTCCCACCGGAGCTTTGTCAGGTGCATTCCGTGTCCTCTGCCTGCGCTGCCTTCGGGCCAAAGCTCGTGGCGTCAAGGATCACGATTGTGTCCTGTCCCCCGCCTCCTCTAAGTGCGAGTACTGCACGGCGCAGCACTCCACTTGCATTCCAGTGAGTTCCCTTGTGGTGTTCTGTCTCTGTTCGCTTTTGCTAACTGTTTGGATAGCTGCCCTGGTTCCTCGACGAGGAGTACCGTGTTCTTGTCACCGCAGAAGCGGCAGATCCTTGGGACCTTGCCGCCATAAAAGCCGCTGCCGCAGAGGCAAACTGGATGGCCCTTGTGGCCGCCCAAAGCATCCCAAAATTCTGCTCGGCTGCCGAGCACGACTCCTACGAGGAGCTCCACACAACGCGCGCTGCCATTTAGGCGGGTCTGGCCGTGACTATCCCCCTATCCTGTGTTGTTTCCGTGCTGACTCGGTTCAGCAAATCTGGTCGTCACTGCGCCGTCTTCGGACGGAGCAGGGGTGCCGGCTCTTTTGGGGGAAGTGGTGACTGCCGTGGGCAGGCTTCCTGCTGTCGCTTGTAATGGTGGGTGCACCAGATGTGAGAATCTAGCCACGCAAGGAAGGGATGATTTTACTAAGACAACACACTGTCTTAGGAAACAGAGCCAAAGGGTTGTAGCTTAGACTATTCCACAACGCAGCAATCAGGTGTGTGATGTAGTGAAGTGGTTCAGACAAGTTGCAACAAATGTTGAGTCTGGGAACTCAGGGGTAAGTCAGAGGTTAACACCTCACTGACTTTTCAGAAACAAGGAGTAACAAGATGAATGCTTGGAAACTTGTAAAAGACGTGGAAGTATGTGATAGTCGATTTACTGTATTGCCTGCTTGCCCTTTCTTAAGGAAAGGGCAATCCTATTTATGCCAAAGGAGTGTAGTTCTCTCATTTTCCATGACTTTCCATGACTAACCAGGCTTGGTAAATGTATTAGAAATCAAGTGCGACCCACAACTAGCTTGCTAATCATGTAGCGAATGTAAGAGAATCCCATAGAACCATCTCTTGGGTTCCTAGCCTATAGGAAGTGAAAAGGAGGTCCAAGGTCAGAGCACCTATAGATAAATTATGTCATAACTTAACCAATCTTGTGGGTAACTAAGGAGCGATGACATGTAATGAATCATAGAGGGTTGTAGAAGCTTCTAGAGCTATCGTTCATGTTCCTAGGCCTCTGGTTGGTAGAGATATGCCATGTGGTAGTATTGGCCCACCCCCTTAAGGAGGAGATTTTCTTAATAACTTGTTCAATGAGTGTCCAAATAATATGCCGTGATGTATGTAGCATAAACAGATGTAGTAGAAGAGTTTGCAGCAATCGTTGAGTAGTATTGCTTCTGTTGTTGATGTGATAAGCCAAGATATGTATGTTGACTTGTAGGTTTGAGGAGGAGATTTCTAAGTTTGCTCTTGAGTTTGATAGCAAACTGAGTGCAACGAATGTCAGTATGACATTTTTATTCCACCTCCACTCAGCTCCCATTGTAGATATATTAATATTGCGTAAAGATCGAGGTGTTTTTGCTTTGCCGATGATCCAGATTGGAAGCCGGTCAGATCCAGAAGCATTTGTACAAAGAGTAAGTGTAATTCGAGCTTTTTCCTTCTTTAATCCAGGTAATGATTGCGATGCTAGTCATCGAGATGGCATCATCTTCCAGTAGAGCCCAGTTTCGTCCATATTATAGATATTCTCCTCCTCAAACTCGCTAGCAATTGTCCGGAGCCCTTTCATCTCTTCTTCAACTAGTTCCGGGATAGATCCTGCTTCGCCGTGACATGTATGTATCTTAATATTATGTCGTGATTTAAATCGTGTAAGCCAGCCAGAGCTAAAGTCGGGAACTGGCTATCTGCATACTGTGGAAGCCTTCTCAAAATTTCCCTCGCCTTTTCTTGAAGTATATCAGCAGATGTAAAGCCACCACGGCTATCAATTCGTCGCTAAAAGTCGTAGAGAATTTGTTCAAGTTGAAGCCATTGGCCAGTTCAATTTCGTTGTCGAGTTGTTGTCGAGTTGTTGAGATGTTTAAAGCCGTCTTCCTCCCATACAGTGCATATCTCCAGCGTGCGGCCGTTCACCCGCCCATCCCCTCTCGGACAGAATGAAAGGCGCTGTTCGAAAAGTGTTACAAGTTCATCCCAGATCCAGACACCTACCTTGATCGGTGGTTCCTGGGTGCCCTGCAAGAGGAGATAAAGCACGAAAATGTGAAAGAGTTTATACAATGGGCGTTCTTCAACCGCGGTGGGGAAGCTGGAGATGATGAGGAGGAGTCGGACGAGTATGTGGCTGCATACGAGACCTCGGTGGGAAGGAAGTTCGAGCCAGGGAGGGGCAAGGCCGAGAGTCTTCGCCTGACACTCGATCCAATAGACATGCTACATCGTAGTTTGGCTTGGTATATGGTATGTATAAGGCGCTTTGCCACTGTTTCCATGATCACGAAGCTAATTTGTCCCAGTGCGTGGGCTTTGTCGACTTGCTCACCTACATCAACCTCCTCCGCGCCGGGTTCCATTTCCACCGCACCTGCCTCTCCCGTTTCTTCACAGTGTTCCCCTTCCGCCCGCCGTCCTCACTACCAAGCGGTCACCCGCAAAATACACAACCTACTGGCACCGTCCCCACACGTCGACCACGCACCTCCCAGTTCTCTTCATCCACGGTATCGGCATCGGACTCTACCCCTACATCCCCTTCCTCTCCGACATCAACTAAGCTAAAGACCTTCCCTCCGGAGATGGTTCGGGCGGCCAAATCGGCATAATTGCCCTCGAAATACACCCCGTCTCCTTCCGTCTGACGCACGCCCCCCTTTTGCCTGCCGTGCTATGCACTGAGATCGCCTCAATCCTCAACCAGCACGGCTACTCCGGGTTGTGCTTGCCACGCATAGCTACGGCTCTGTGATTGCGACCCATCTCCTCGCGCACGCCGAAACGGCGCCAATGATCGCGGATATCGTGCTTATCGACCTGGTGACCATCTTGCTGCACCTGCCTGACGTAGCATATAACTTCACATGGCGTCAGCCGCAGTCGGTGAGCCAGCACCAGCTGTGGTACTTTGCGAGCATGGATATGGGGGTTGCGCATAGTTTGGCGCGGCACTTCTTCTGGTCGGAGAATGTGCTGTGGAAGGAGGCTGTAGAGGGCCGCAATGTTACGGTCAGTTTGGCAGGGAGAGACTTGATTATTAACACCGAGTCTGTGGGCCGATATTTGGCAGAGGGAACTGAAGATGTAGATAATGAGAGAGCTGTGGAGATAATGCCCGATGTGAGCGAGGAGGGGGGCTTGCTGGTACAGGAAGGGTGGAAACATAGGCCTTGGCGAGGGAAGGGAATTGATATCCTCTGGTTCGACAATTTAGACCACGTGCAAGTATTTGATACGCCTGCGACGAGACGACCTGTCTTGGAGGCTATTCGAGCATACTCCGCGAATGGCGATAATGCTCTCGGAACAGCCACAGCTGTGGACGAGGGTGAGTAGACTTTGATTAGACGTCTGCGTGGACATCACTAGTTAGACGTATGTAAGGGTAGACTGTTAAGCAAGAATGCAATGCTCGAAATATGATATAGTTTGTGGTATGAGTTTATGATGCAAGCTCGATTAATAATACACATAGACCTGTGACCCCTTTCTTTCGATGCTATCACGTCTCCGCCCCCGAACTTTCTTGTTTGGCTTACTTTGAGCTCCATTTGCGTGAGCGACGTCAATATCCGATGGAGTTCCATCATCGTCAGTTAGCGCTTCTTTATCACTTGGATCTACATCGTATTCACTAGACTCATTCGTATTATCATCAAAGGGAGTCCCCTGAATCTTAAGATAATCTTTTCGTAGTGTGAGTTTAGAGTTTTTGTGAACACGACCAATAAAGGCCACCTTCACATTGTGCTCTACCGTAATCGTCGGAACCGACCTTGTGCTCAAGGTCGGGGTAATCGTCGGTGGTCGGCGAAAGCGAAGTGCATCCGGAAAGCGAAATGTCATAGCCAAGTCAGAGATTTACACCCAAATATACTCTCAACTATGCACCTGCTGTAATTTTGCTCTGTATAATGGACCAAGCCCTTGAATTCCTCCGCAAGAACCCTTCCGAAAAGCAATCACCGCCGCTCGAATTTATAATGTTAATACTTAGACGCTTAATTCCTACACTCGACGAGTGAAGTTGAAAGCCGCCGAAGCCCCATATTTCTAAACGCGGAGGACAAAATAAGATACTTTCGAGGTACAAATTAAGGCGATATACAAATATGTCGAAGATCCGTATCATGCAGGTTACGGGCCATCAAGACCAATGGTTTTTGCAGCAATTGGCCAATTGCGGGCGGCAGAAATACCACTGAAACCAGCGCCTTCATGGCGCTGGTTTCAGGGCTTTATAAAAAGCCATTCTAACCTTTTTCAAGTCGTTAAAACGAAAGCGATTGCTCAAATTCGAGTTACAACTCATGATATTTCGGCGGTAGAGGACTGGTTTTCAGTATATTTGTCATGGTGTATCCAACATGATATCCAGCTGCAAAACGTCTATAACTTTGACGAAACTGGCTTTCGAGTTGGAGTAGCACCAGGGGAGGAGGTAATACTTCCTATATATATTACAGAGGTATGTACAATTAGTTATCGTCATTGAAATATAATTGAACTGACCCTACTAAGATGTATGTTCCAATGGCTGAAAATCGCAGGTCTATTACTATAATCGAGTCAATCTGTGCAATTGGACAAGTGATTCCACCAGTGATTATTATACAAGGACGACAACATATGGAGTCCTGGTATCATGAAAAGCTAAGCGGCGACGAGCTTATATTGCTCTCTGATTCTGGATATACAAATGGCGAGCTGGCAATGCTTTATTTAGAGCATTTCATTAAACATTCTGATGCTGGGCCTAATAAACCATTAAAAGTCCTTCTTATGGATAGCCATATCAGTCATACAATACCCAAGTTCATCATACGAGCAACAGCGATGAATATTCATCCATATCCGCTCCCGTCACATCTTACAGATATTATGCAGCCGCTTGATGTTGGTGTTTTTCAGCCTTACAAACACTGGCATAAGAAGGCAATTCAATATGCAATGCGAAATCTTGATATTGACTACAATATTGCTTCATTTTTTTGAGACTTAGGCAAAATCCACTCGGAAACATTCAAGAAAGGCACAATTATAGGAGCATTTCGTGAAGCTGGAATTTGGCCAATAAACCCTAAAGAAGCCTTGAAAAAAATGAAGGTATATACACTGTCTGAAAAGGCTCTAGACCTACCACAAATTCCACAGACTCCGACAAAATTTGTACATTCAGAGCTCAAATTACAGCATTGGCAGGCAAAGATACCATACCTTTTGTCAAGTCCATCGGCACAAGAATGGGATTCTTGGGCGCGCGGTACTGAAAATGTCCTTGCTCAAGGCGAGTTAGCTGTTCTACAGTATGATTTACTATCTACAAAGGTTGTGAACCAGCAAAAGGCAAAGGTCAAAAGCTGCAATGTTGTTCAAGCAACGTGTGGTCCATTAACAGCTAAAGATGCTTTATAGCTGACAAGGCTAAAAAGGAGAAGGAAACTCAAGAGCGGAAGTCAAAATTCAGAGCATGAATATGTCATACTGACATTCATTGCACTCAGTTTGCTATCAAAACTCAAGAGCAAAATTAGAAATCTCCTCCTCAAACCTACAAGTCTGTAAGGATGCCTCCGTACCTAGATACTCGAAGAACCTGTCTCAGAACTGTTACAGTCACTACAAGCATGGAATCTGACTCGGTGGGGTTTCGAACCAGTAGAGGAGCATATAGTGAGTTACACTATAGTGGGGGACGGTAAGTGTATAGGGTTCAGGGCTGATGCAGACCTGTTGCGGTGGAAGGTTCAGGGCTAGGGTTGGGATAACCGAGTCAGACCCGTTTCGGGTACTTAAGGAAACAGACTCAACGGGGTTCCCCCTTCATCTTTTTTGTATCCTTCGTAGTAGACCTATAGGATAGCATCGTTCAGCCTCTGACTCGCACTCTCATATGCTATTACTGTGAGCTGGGTGCCCTGTGTCCTTACAAAGTCACTATACATATTTTGGCTTGTCACACCAACAACAAGAGCAATACTACTCAACGATTGCTACAACCCTCTATGATTCATTACACGTCATTGCTCCTTAGTTACTGGGCTGATATGACCACATAGCATATCTCTACAACCCTCTATGATTCATTACATGACATCACTCCTTAGTTACTGGGCTAATACTACACATGACATATCTCTATCAACTAGAGGCCTAGGAACATGAACGATAGCTCCAAAAGCTTCTACAACCGTCTATGATTCATTACACGTCATCGCTCCTTAGTTACCCACAAGATTGGTTAAGTTATGATATAATTTGTCTATAGGGGTACTCTGACCTTGGACCTCCTTTCACTTCCTATAGGCTAGGAACTGTAAGGATGCCAAAGCCCTCAGTGATGGAAAGCATCGGAGTCGGGCAGGTTACGGTCACGTGGGGAGCATTAGGGTAGGTTATCCGAGTCGGACCGTTTCGGGTACTTAAGGAAATTGACTCAACGGGGGTTCCTCTCTTCATCTTTTTTGTATCCTTCGTAGTAGACCTATAGGATAGCATCCGTTTAGCCTCCGACTCGCACTCTCATATGCTATTACTGTGAGCTGGGTGCCCTGTGTCCTTACAGGAACCTAGGAGATGGTTCTATGGGATTCTCTTACGTTGACTACAGTTACCAAGCCTGGTTAGTCATGGAAAGTCTTGGAAAATGAGAGAACTACACTCCTTTACATAAATAGGATTGCCCTTTCCTTAAGAAAGGGCAAGCAGACAATACAGTAAATCGACTATCACATACTTCCACGTCTTTTCCAAGCTTCCAAGCATTGATCTTGTTACTCCTTGTTTCTGAAAAGTCAGTGAGGTGCTAACCTCTGACTTATCCCTGAGTTCTCATACTCAACATTTGTTACAACTTGTCTAAACCACTCCACTACATCATACACCTGATTGCTGCGTTGTGGAATAGTCTAAGCTACGACCCTTTAGCTCTTTTTCCTAAGACAGTGTGTTGTCTTAGTAAAATCATCCCTTCCTTGGGTGGCTAGATTCTCACATCTAGTGTACCCACTATTACATTTATCCTGTGTGATAAAATGAGTAAAAAAAAAAAAAAAAAAAACAACAGAAATGGGGATTTAATTAAAGAAAATTTCAAATACCAATATATCCTGGTCATCTTGCTCGTTGTTAACAACCTTGTAGCAAGAGGTTGATTCTTCACTTTTGGACACTTTACCAACTGGCCTTTTCTCCTGTCGTCCATCTCCCTTGTCATAATCTTCCCCATCAGAGTTGTCCTCAGAGTCTTCGTCAGAGTCATCTTTATCTGAGTCTTCCTCGGGTTCTTCCCCAGAGTCCTCCTCTGAATTCTCTCCATTGGCTTCCTCAGAGCACCAGTAGATTCCCCTGTGCCTTCCTCAGACTCGTCACTATCGGATTCCTGAAATATGGGATAGGAAGAACAATTGGTCTACTCACTTGGGCTGGATAGAGCGGGTCCTTGTAAATAGAACGCCGATGTGGACATTGCTCGGGCGGGAGGTAAGGTGAGATTCATTCCTTCGATGGGATGTGATCCGAGGTGGGCCTAGCCAATCAAAGCTGGACGCTTGCAAACATGCATTGGTAAATTGTAAGGCGGTCCGGAGAGGCACACACAATAGCCCTTCCCGGCAGCATGGGATGAGGGATTCGGCAGCTATGCAGATGCTGCAGGAGATGCCCCTGGAACGGCTGGTGCCGAGCTGTCATGTTGGACGAACAGGGTACCGACGGCAAACAAACCAAACAAACAAATCTAGATCCTTGGGTAGATCCCGCGCTTTCCGTCTGTGAAACGCTACTCCCTGGAACAGGACTCTGACGGCTCATAGTTGGCTCGTCTCTGACGGGGCGGGACGGTGGTCCCTGATGATCTCTTTGGTGTCCCTACCCCTTGTTAGGTATACCGGGAACGTACTCGCACATAGGGAGAGTGTGAATGAGGCTGTGCCGTCCAATAATGGCTACACGAATGCGACTGTGGAGGTTCTTGGCGCACTGATGGACTGCACTGCTACATATGAAATGGAGTATGTGGAGATAATGTGATAATGATTACGGCGACAGCCCTACTCTGGTTCTATTTTGAGGCGTCCCAATTTACCTACTGTGAGTCCCCTGAGCCCGTGCTCCATGCCAGGGTCCGCGGAATCCCCATCCGTGCTATGCACAACCCCACCTCTCAACAAAGCTTGCCACACAATTTACGTATCGATCTATATCATCCTTAGTATGCACAATTGTGAGGGCCACAAACCCCCTCCGGGTAACGTATATGTGATTCTTGATCATGTGGAAGTAGAACAAGTCTATCACGGCTATTTGAAGTCGTCAGGTCTCTCCTCCGAAACGTGACCGAGTCACAGTCGATGTCGTAATGGTAGTTCTCCTGAGTCGTTCCGGTGTGGGATATTATTGAAGTACGGCCGTCCCCGGCAGGCGTGATCTTTTTTGTATAATGTAAGGACACAGGGCACCCAGCTCACAGTAATAGCATATGAGAGTGCAAGTCAGAGGCTAAACGGATGCTATCCTATAGGTCTACTACGAAGGATACAAAAAAGATGATGAGGAACCCCGTTGGGTCAATCCCCTTAAGTACCTGAAACGGGTCCTACTCAGCTAACCTGCCCTAACTATCCCCACGTGACCGTAACCTGCCTGACTCTGATCCTTTCTTCACTGAGGGCGAAGGCATCCTTACAAAGATCTCCTGTAACAATGCTATGAGTAGGATCAAATCGTAAAGCCCATTCTCTAAGAGCTTTCTCTAACACTTCCCATTTTGGTTTCCTTGTCTTCTTGGTATTATCGAATGCTTTTGTAGAAGTAGTAGTGTCGAGAGAGGCGTATTTTGAGGATAGTATTTCACTTGTAGTCAAAGAGCTCAAAGTATGTCCATATTGATCATTCCACTAAGTTGAAGCATCTGCTAATGTCTTCTTTGTGCTCTGAGTTGTAGGATCATAGTACCAAGCTCGTAAAGCTTGCTTTTGTGCATTCGTAATTGAGATTCGAGGCTTTTTAGGTGGTGGAGGTGCCATTTTCTATACCGGAAGTTAAGGATCTTAGCCGGAATTCCAGTATAAGGAGGTTTCCGGATTGCCATACAAAATTCGCGTGATTGTGGGAAGGGGTCCGGTATTGGGAGGTTTCCGCTATAGCCAAGTCCGCTATAGGCAGTGATTACTGTATAGGAGAGCGATAGAACAGTAGTTTGACTCCATAATAAAGCTCATAGTAGTAACATACCGCTCCTATCTTACTAAGGACACAAAAACAACACTAATGCTTCTATGATACACATGCACCTTCGTCGCCACAACTCCTCCTGATGAAAGCCGCCCATCCGAACGACACCGACCCATCCATAACCTAACCCAGACCATGCATTCCATACCACTCTTCCTGCCCCGTATACCCCCCATCAATGCACCCCCCTACTTCTCATTCCGAATAGGAAATACATAAAGAAACCGCGAACCTCGCCAGACAACTTTCTCTTATAAAAACAAACTCCCCGTGCACCTTATCTTGAGCTTACGGAGTCATTTCTTGCCGCGAATAGAAAAAAAACGATTAGACTTCTTGCTCAGATTGGACCTCTTGCTCGTTGGTCGCTCTCGCTCTCGCTCTCCCGCCTTTTCAGCCCGATTATCGGCATATATGCGCCTCCTCTCAGCGCGTCTCGCATCGATAGTATCTTGCGTCACATGACCAAATCCGTTGCGGCGCCGATAGCATGCCTCCATAAGAGCGTTCGCATCGACCAATCTACGCGGAATCGTCTGCACAACTTGGAACACCTCCATCGGGTCATTGACGGCTCTGATCTCTGCTTCGCCAACCTTGAACACGGCGAGTGCGATACGAAAGAGCGTCTTGCTTCCCTCAAAGAAGAAGGAATCCCACACCCGCAGCGTAGTCTCGATCGGAAGAGTCCCGATGAAGCAAGACATGAACCATGCCGTACAGCATAGAGTGATAGGCGGGAGATCGAAGGGGACCCCGCGCTGACTCGCACCGGAACTGCCGTCCAATTCACCTCCAATCTTGGCCCAAACGGCAGGCATGGACTCCTGGACACCCATCATCAATACTCCGAGGTCGACATTCGCACCTTCGAGGTTCACTTCGTGCGTGTTGGGGAGATAGGTCTTGGTAATGAGATCCAGCATCCAGAAAGCGCGCTCCTCGCACATGAAAAGCAGAAGGAGGCCAGCGAGGAAATTGAGGCTCTGGCAGTAGCCGATCTTGGTGTTGTAAATCGCGGTTGCTTGTAAGACATGGCGGAGGGACTTCAGCATGGGTGTCTCCGTGTCAGTGGCTGAGTTCGGCGTGATGGCGTTAGGACCAGTCACCAGGAAAGATGGGATGACTTGGTCGGGCTTGAACATGATATTGTCTGGGAAAGTTCGGTGCAGGTCGCGCTCGATAAGTTCCTCATCGGTTGGGGAAAGATCTCCATTCGTAGCGCGTCGGACGAGGTCATCGTAGACACCAGGGTGCTTCGCCAGAATCGCATGGCCACCGGAATAGAAGAACCAGGCTTCTCCTCGCCAGTCGGGCGGGATACCTTTGCGGACACATCGCTTCATTTTATGGGACTTCGGTGGGAAGCGGGTCGGATCCTCGCTGCCGAGTCCATTGGCCTTCATAAGATCAACCCACTTTCTCCGACGGCGTGCCAGGTAGACTGTATATTGGCGGTTCCAGGCTTCATAGACGTCAAGGGGAACATGCAGTGACTTCTTCTTGAACCCATAATGGTCACGTGTATGGTCAAATTTGGAGTACTGTGCTCCGATGACTCCACGCCCAGATGGTTGTCTGGAGATTCCTGGGACTGGCTGGTTTTGGTTGGAGCCAATGTCGTTTTGTGCATCGACATTGAAAGGATCCACGTAGGCGGGAGCAGTTCTGAACATGTCTGCAGAATCGCGAATGATCATATGTTGAAGCTTGGGTACGGCAAGATCGAGGCCGTCAAGATCAGGAATTGTTTGTTGGTTGCCGATTTCAGATTGGACGGAGCGGCTAGTTGCCGGTCTATTTTGGTGGTGTTCGTCCTCTGTCTCTGCCTCAGACTCGCCAAATCCACTTTCGTACATATCAAGGAAATCGTCAATCTGATCTCTCCCGTTAACGGATCTTGCTGAGCTGGCCTTGCTCAAGACACTACTTCTCGCCGTGTCGAGGAAGATTGAAGAGGTGGGCGTATCCCATGTAGCTGATGTAGTACCAGTGCCAGTAGTTTGAATAGATCGAAGGCTTTCTCGGACCCCTTCGTCGTTGCTAGCCCCCGGAAAGTTTGGGCGCAGGTCAGGGTTAGGGCTGTTGTCTCTGAACCCCAATCTGTTGCGCGAGTTAGCTGGGTTACTCGGGCCATTCTGCTGACGCTCTGTTTCTGAAAGCTCAGGAATAGAATATGCATTGCGTAGTGAACGTGAAGACGCCGGGTCGGTTGCCATGGAAGCTGGTGATTCTGAAAAGCCTCTATCACGGCCAAACCCAGGTCGATACACAGAAGTTCCGCCCCGGGAATGTGGCATCGTAGATCCTGAGCTGGGCGCCGTTCGAGGAGGATCTCCTGTTCTGTTCGTGCTACCTTGTCTAGGTCTCGAGAAGTTCTCGCGGGCTGGTGCCATTTCCTGTTTGTATAGTGGTGATTCGGGGTAGGTTGGACTTTGGTGGCCTATGTCCAAAGAGCGAAGACGTGCGGCCTCTGAAGGCATCGGACGTTTGTTTTGGGTCTGTGAGGAGGGGTTTCGGTTGGAATGATAGGAATCGTTCGAGGCCGAACGCTGTGTGCGAGAGTCTTGTTCCATATCTCTTTGTCTCTGGGTGTTTGCCAGTTGTTGGGGACGAGGGGCTGCAGGAAAATTAGGCGTAGGGGGGTACATAGAAGTAGGCGAGGAGGTTATAGGTGCAGGAGATCCATTCTTCCCCGAGAGTAATCGTCTCAGGCTCCGGCTCCTCTGCACCGGCACGGCTCCATCACCTCTATAGGCGGTCGAGGCGGCATTTCGAGACTCCCCGTCCATCGCCCGAACTTCGCACAACACTCGATAATCAACGCTTCTAGAAAGCCCCGGTGGTATCCAATTTCGTCTTGTATATTTATATTATCTCCAGGAGCTGGCTCCGCACTCGGCTTCGCAGTCGGACTCGAGTTACGGGAATGGCGGGCAGGTCGATATCGTCGCAAGGGGCTCGTCTCCACCACAACAGCGAGAGCGAGCCGAAGGAGTGTCAAATATCGGGCTAGTGGCCATTGATGAGTCTTCTTTCCAAACGAGTGAATCGCTGCCCGGTATCTCTGTTGGTGTCGGCGCCTTGTTTGCCTTCGCCAGCAAGTTTTCAATGGCTGGTAGTGGGGAGAATCAGGCTATTAACGCGATCTCCGCAACACACGCCTAGATCAGGTCCTCCGTCCCGCCTGTTGGCGCAAGTCCAGGTCACAGGACAGCAGCGCCGTACCTTTTCCAGCTCAATAAATGAAATTTCTTCCTTGTAGACCTTTGTTTGACTGGTGATCTTGGTTATTAATATAAGGATACGTGCAGGCTCCTAGATTATATATAATTACGTAGGTGTTGGCTTTAAGATTAACATTGACACTGCAATTTAATTCCTGAAATTCTGTAACCTTGAACAGTGGTTCAATGGCCCGTGCGGGAGAGATAGCTGAAGAAGCCGCCGCTCCCCGCGAAATTCATTTCGGAGCCCGGAAGATAGTGTAATGCATGATCAGGCCGACTCTAGAATCGAGGGCTGCCAATCGATTGAAAACTCCCAAAATTTCTGTATCACGCATCAGCTTGACAGCAAACACCGTGAGAATCTGCGGCAATTGAAGAACGAATCACATTTCATAACAACGTCTTCGGGTCAAAGCTAGGCAATAGATTGGACTGTGGTACATTCGCCACTCTTACATGTCATTTGCAATATATATATATGTATGTAGCTATTATTTTTCACATGCCGCATCTAGAAACGCTTCTCCGCAGTCTTCCAGTTAAGCACATCCCAGATGGCCTTGAAGTACTCGGCCTTGCGGTTCTCATACTGCAGGTAGTATGCATGCTCCCATGCATCGACACCCAGAATGGGAGTGTATTGGCCGACAACTGGGTCTTGGTTTGCGTAGGTCTTGATCAGGACCTTGCCGGTTTGGTTGTCCTTCACGAGCCATGCCCAGCCACTACCCTGGATACCCGCAAGCGCTGTGTTGAACTTGCCCTGGAAGTCGATGAACGAGCCGTATGAATCCTCGATAGCGGTCTATCGCAAGCGGTTAGACCGTTGTCACATTCATAGAGAGTATGCTTCGAAGTCGGAAAAAGTCGAGCTCTGCCATTGGATTAAGTGAGCATACCTTGAGTGCTCCGGATGGCTCTCTACCACCGCCCTGGCTCTTGGGTGCCAGGTTCTCCCAGAACAGGGTGTGGTTGAGGTGGCCACCACCGTGGAAGTTGATCAATGGCTGCAGAGCAACCTTTGCGGCGATATCTTGCTTGGCCTCAGCGGCTTGGAACTGCTCGGTGGCAGCATTGTAGCTGGTGACATAGGTTTGGTGGTGCTTGGAGTGGTGGAGCTCCATGATCTTGCCAGAGATGGCCGGCTCGAGTGCGCCATAGTCGTCTGATAAATATTCGTAAGTATATTAATTCAACAAAGAAAGTGGTAGGTTGAGCTTACATTGAAGGTCTGGAAGGGTGGCCTTGCTCCGGACAAAGCTGGTGCTTGCAACTCTGGCGACTCTCTTTGAAGCTCCGGCCTTGAGGGCTGAGCGGACAGCCGGGGAGATGCGGAAAAGTGTGGCGGACATTGTGTAGTGATGGATATCTAACAGTAAAGATTATAAAATTGCGCAAACGGAATAGTTGGGCAAAGATAAATTTAGGTATGTGGAAGATGACGGATATGAAATCATGAGCGTAACATCCGTTTTTGCCGATGCTAATCGTCGTGACCAAATTTTCGCTTCGCTCAAGGTTGGAGGACGCGATCCGCGCGGTTTCAAAATGAGCGGAAACGATGTGCGCTGTTTCGCAGCATGTAGGCTATAAGTACCACTACATAGTAATTTGTATGTAAAGGTACATAAATCGATCATTGTAAGAAATTATCACTTCATCACACTCACTCCCATGCTCACTACCACTCTCACTCCCAGGCTCACTGCTGCTCACGCTCTAGTACTCACTCTTAGCAGCTTCTAGGTCCTAAATTAGGTCCTAATCCTCTAGAGGAATTAGGTTGCTATAACGCTACTACCTATCTAATAGGATGTATAAAGGTTTCTTACATAAGGTTGACTTATGTAAGAAAGAGGAGGTAGGGGATTCAACATAAAGGCTTTCTAAGTAACACGTTATAGTATTGTAAAGAATACTATATTAAGTTGAGCATGAAGCTCCTATCTAAGGGAATACTTATATAGTAACGTCGTTTATAGATAGTTCAGATAGTTAGGGATAGTGTAACGCTAACTTCTAAACGATAGAAGACGCAGAGGTTTCTTGCGTAAGGTTGACTTAACAGAGGAGGCAGGGGATTAAACACAAAGGCTTTCCAAGTAACACGTTATAGTATTGTAAAGAATACTATATTGAGTCCCACTCGGCTAACCTGCCCTAACTCTCCCGACGTGACTGTAACCTGCCCGACTCCGATTCCTTCTGTCACTGAGGCCGGAGGCATCCTTACACTACCCCCCCTTTTAAGAGAGTGTTTTGTCCGCGAAACACGCTGTGAGAATCATTTCCGCAACATCTCCGAATGGTATCCATGAGAAGAGCGTTCTATGTTGGCTGGAATTCTGTTTGTAATTGCATCTGTAACAACCCTGTTTATGTGCCATGTCAGGAAGGTGCGTTGTATGTCATGCTAGAGCTCGACTCCGTTTAGTGTGCAAAACCAGAGTTTGCCTTGTTCGCTCTGGGGTACATTCGTGGTGTCCGAGTGGACTCCGAATTGCATCCACGAAACGTTCAGGTTGAGCTTTGCTTTGTTCGCTCTGGGGTACATTTGTGGTGGTCTGAGTGGACTCCGAATTGCATCCGTGAAACGTTCGGGTTGGACTGTCCTACGTATGAAAGGAGAAGTGGCTGCGCTAACCCGATTCAGAGTTCATTGTTATAAGCCAGACTATGAGTACGCAGCCGCGTCCACTTCTTCTTGTTGTCTCCAACAACAACGCCAGCGACCACCCCTCCATTTACGGTAAGTGACCCATTCTCGTGGATTGTTTGACAGTGTACTAATAAATTGGATAGTATATTTCCAATCCACATGAACAAGTAGGTGATGGGAACGCGTTGGTGCGTGGGTGACAACGTGTGCTGGGCTGACGGGATTCGTAGAATTCCAACTTTTACCAATGCCAGTTCCGACGCCCTCCGGGAGCTTTGTCGGGCGCATCCCGTGTCCTCTGCCTACGCTGCCTTTGGGCCAAAGCTAGTGGCGTCAAGGACCACGATTGTGTCTGGTCCCCCGCCTCCTCCAAATGCGAGTACTGCACTGCGCAGCACTCCACCTGCGTTCTGGTGAGTTCCCTTGTGGTATTCTGTCTCTGTTGGCTTTGCTAACCATTTGGATAGCTGCCCTGGTTCCTTGGCGAGGAGTACCGTGTTCTTTTTGCTGCTGAAGTGGCAGATCCTTGGGACCCTGCCGCCATCGAAGCCGCTGCCGCAGAGGCAAACTGGGTGGCCCTTGTGGCCGCCCAAAGCGTTTCAAAATTCAGCTTGGCCACTTAGTGCGACTCCTACGAGGAGCTCCGCGCAACACGCGCCACCATTGTGGTGGGTCTGGCCGTGAGTATCCCCCTGTCCTGTGTTGTTTCAGTGCTGACACGGTTCAGCAAATCCGGTCGTCGCTGCGCCGTCTTCGGACCGAGCAGGGGAGTGTGCCAGCTCTTTTGGGGGAAGTGATGGCTGCCGTGGGCAGGCTTACTGTCGTCGCTGTCGCCGCGACAGTTCCGGACCGCGCTGGGGGGAGGAAGAAGGGGGGTGATGGGGATGGTGAGGGTGAGGGGGATGGGTTTGGGGCCCAGTATTGGGCAGAGGAGGATGGGGCATAGGATGGAGAGACCCTGTGTCGGAGGGGACTCTGGCCGGCTCTTCGTGTCAGGTTACTTTGACCCTTCATTTCTCATGGTGGTAGCCGCTTGTTGCGACGCCGGTGAGATGTTTGGGAAGGGTGGCTCGCGCAAGGGTTCCAGTGGTGAGGGCACCTTGGCTCAGAGGGCTTAGTTTAGAATCGTGGGTAGCAACGACTATGTTTCTTCCCCTTTTGTCATCCTTTCATGATCGTAGTCTTGTCCTGTCTCCCATGCTGTAACTGTTACAGCTACGGTAATGTGACATCATGGTTACAGGACCAGGGCCTAGTAACGTGACGTGTGAGTCACAGGGGGCAAGCGGGGTAGGCTGCCATGTGATGGGGCTAATGGATAGTTGCAGAAACTAGTAGATATTAGATAGTTGAGCTATTCACGAACTATCCTGAATATCTAGCTATCCGCCAACTATCCAGATTACCCATGAGAAATGACGCCATTATATAAGTAGATAGTATTTCCTTAGATAGGAACTTCGTGCTCAACTCAATATAGTATTCTTTACAATACTGTAACGTGTTACTTGGAAAGCCTTTGTGTCTAATCCCCTGCCTCCTCTGTCAAGTCAACCTTACGCAAGAAACCTCTGTGTCTTCTATCGTTTAGAAGTCAGCATTACAGTAACCCACCCGAGTAGTTCCTGTGGTGGTCCTGGTAATTGTGGGTACTCCGTGTGAAACTCTCTGAGTTTATGGGGAGAGTTCATGAAGTTCGACGCTGGGTACCACTCCGGGTCCAGATCGTATCCTACCCAACTAACCCTGTATTTTAGTTGCTTCCGTCGGAGCCTCACGACGAGGATCTTTTCCACTTCCCATTCCTCTACTCCATCTATCACTTCGCTGCTAGGCTCAGGTGCATCCTGACCAGGTAGGGGGTTGTTTGGATCCTTCATGAGGACGTCTGGTGAGAATACATCATGTATTTGAGAACTGCTAGGTATTTCCAATCGAAACGCATGCCCAATCCGTTCCAACACCGTATATGGTCTGACCCATTGTTGGCCCAACTTGAGGCTAGGGCGAGAGTTAAGTCAGAGGTTAACACCTCACTGACTTTTCAGAAACAAGGAATAACAAGATCAATGCTTGGAAGCTTGGAAAAGACATAGAAGTATGTGGTAGTCGATTTACTGTATTGTCTGCTTGCCCTTTCTTAAGGAAAGGGCAATACTATTTATGCTAAAGGAGTGTAGTTCTCTCATTTTCCAAGACTTTCCATGACTTACCAGGCTTGGTAACTGTAGTCGACGTAAGAGAATCCCATAGAACCATCTCTTGGGTTCGTAGCCTATAGGAAGTAAAAGGAGGTCCAAGGTCAGAGTACCCCTATAGACAAATTATGTCATAGACAAATTATGTCATAACTTAACCAATCTGGTGGGTAACTAAGGAGTGATGACGTGTAATGAATCATAGATGGTTGTAGAAGCTTTTGGAGCTATCGTTCATGTTCCTAGGCCTCTAGTTGATAGAGATATGTCATGTGTAGTATTAGCCCAGTAACTAAGGAGTGATGTCATGTAATGAATCATAGAGGGTTGTAGAGATATGCTATGTGGTCATATCGGCCCAGTAACTAAGGAGCAATGACGTGTAATGAATCATAGAGGGTTGTAGCAATCGTTGAGTAGTATTGCTCTTGTTGTTGGTGTGACAAGCCAAAATATGTATAGTGACTTGTAGGTTTGAGGAGGAGATTTCTAAGTTTGCTCTTGAGTTTGATAGCAAACTGAGTGCAATGAATGTCAGTATGACACAAAAGCATTGGAAGGTTCCGTCGACGAACCCCCATATTTGACCACACCCACCACTGTCTTCAATCGCTTCTTCGAATTGTAACAGCTTCTTGTATGTAAGGTATGGGTGCCACTCAAGTACAGCCTCAAACTCGTGTACTAAGTGGCTCATTACGTCGTTGAAAACTGTAGAGAGCCATGCTGGCGACCGCCCAAAAAGATCAGCGCAGGTTGACCAACGTCCTGGATACGCAAGGCGAGCTAGGACTACACAAAGAGCAGTCTCTAAGTCTGGCTTTACCCGGTCTCTCCATTCAATTTTATAAAGCCGAAGGAGTGGCACAAGCCGGGCGATTTCCTAGATTGAAAACCTTAATAGTATAAGAACCTATACCCCAAACCTCAACCCCTATTCAATTACTTACCGGAACTTGTGAACTACCCACCCTGGAGTTTGACTACCCCACGATCGTAGATTCCAGTTGAACTTCTCATATTCGTATGTAATCTGGGCTTGTGGGCATTGAGTTATATGTAAAGACCGTATAAGTGTAACGCTGACTTCTAAATGATAGAAGACACAGAGGTTCTCTTGCATAAAGGTTTACTTATCAGAGGAGGCAGGGGATCAGACACAAAGGCTTCAAGTAACACGTTACTAGTATATAACAAATACTGTATTGAGTTGAGCACGAAGCTCCTATCTAAGGAAATACTATCTACTTATATAGTGGCGTCGTGCCTAGTGGACTCCTGGGAACTCACTCGAGTCCTCGGAGTCCTGGACTCTTAGGATTCTTCTCATCATCCTGCGAGTCCGTCACGTGCCTAGTGGACTCCTGGGAACTCACTTGAGTCCTCGGAGTCCTGGACTCTTAGGATTCTTCTCATCATCCTGCGAGTCCGTCACGTGATACTTTCGGAACTACTATTCCCCGCTGCCCCTCCAGGTACCAGGGCCGGTCTCATGCGACCTCCCTCCTTCCTGTCCTGTAGTTGGCCAGCCTTCTTGTTCCGTCATAACAATAAGCCACTGATAATATCGGCGCCGGCGACGATGTCGAACAAGTAAGGCTGCTGCGCAAACAGTAAGAGCAATCAACTCTAGCTCTTCAGTATCCGACATTAAGTTATATTACTATAACCTCCTTTATTTTTACACAATATAGTAGCTACGGCGCAAAGATATTTTATAACAGAAGTGGTGGTCGAATAGGGGTAATTTGCAGTGGTGGCAGTCGCAAAAGGGTACATATAGTAATTCCATTTACATATATATTTGTATGGCAATAGACGTACTATGATGTATCTTTTTCTGGCCGCCACCACCTCTCCCCCCATCCGCCCAGTTCCAAAGCACTTACTGAAGAAGAAAAATTTATCAAAGGCCAGTATTTTACAGAGGGAACAAAGGCCTCTAGTCACATAGGGGATTACAAAGGGAACGCCGTAGGGGGTATGGCCGGAAGGGGAGAATTATCTAACAAGCGATCATAATCCAACTTTTCTACACCAATCAATACAGTCAATATCACCAAACTTTTGATATTGCCTAATTAGGAGGTATGGTAAGTACTAAACAAGGATTCTATTGCTCTAATACTAATATAATCTAGTAGTACTCTAGACTGCTTGGCATCACTGGATTAGGCAGTGTCAAGCCGACAACTGTCGAACACTGCTGAATCGCTCTAATGTATGTAAGTTGCTTGTCCAACCCTTTGTATTAGCGGAGAAGTGCCATTTATCGCAGACTTCTGGAGGGATCCAGCTTTGTAAGACGTTCTGGCCCTTGAATATAATAGAAGGTTGATGGTTGTTCCATCCATGCAGATGCATTCAACAGCGGACACCCACTCCTGCCGGCCTTGGTGTTCCTGGTGACGCGTACGGAGTGTGGAATCAATGACGATCCGAGTGCACTCCATAGTGCCAATCGAAAATCCAGTCTCGTCCATGTTATACACGTCGTGTTCTTGTATTCCTAGACGTGCCACAAAGTCCTTGTATGCGTCAAACCACCCCGTTAACACATCTTTGGTAACCCCACTCATTCTTTGTGCTTCGACCCGTCTGCCTAGTTGGATTTGTAGATGCGGATGTCGTTTTATAAAGCGTGGGACCCAATCTTGTCTAAGGGGAAAGTTTGGAACCTGTTCATGTTGCGCGTATTGGGCAGGTTGAGTGTTAAGGTGCGATGGTTCGAAAATGCGGCATCGGTTGACACAGATTTCATCAGCAATATCCCGCAATATACGGTGACTAGGCGCGTATCCACTAATTGTTAGCACCTTAATCCACTTTAAAAGTGTCTACTCCTGCGCTGGTGATAGCAGCTGTTGTTGTTGTCGAGCTACTCTCCGTGACAGTTTCCCTTTGACACGTTGAAGGACTGTGTCTGGCCGGAGGTGTAAAGCCTTTGCAGCACCGTACGAATATTTGTATAATCCATAATAAACTTCTAGTTCTTCAGCTTTTTGGCTACGCTTTCGCACCATGTTGGGAGTTTACATTAGTTTGATGATCCTCTCGATACACGATATTCCCCCACTATCCCGTTTACGCCATTCTCCCGGTTACGCCACGACTTACGTTAGTGTTGATTCGGGGACTTTGAAAATGCGACAGGTAGCAATTATAGACTTAGAAGGGTTTTCTACAAGCCACTCCTGGGCATTTGATATAGGAGTCCCCTCCATTAAATGAATTGTATAGGATTACAATATAAATTACTATCTACATCTATGGAAAATGTTTGAAACCGCGCCGCGCATCGCTTCCTCCAACTTTTGATCACGACGATTACTAGTAGATTTAGCCATGTATTTCTGCCGTTTGGATCGCTATAAGTGGTCTAGACTCGAAGCTTTATTAGACATCACACACTCAGAAACATTCACCGCCCATACATCGGAGGGTTCTGTTATCGATAACGATGGACGCGTTCACAAGAAACTTAATTGTATTATTGTTCAAATGGCATCTTTTGTATTCTGACGAGCATGTAGCTGTCCTGTTCCTCTTCATATCAATCCGATCTTGTATTCTCTAGTTACAGCTCTACTTTTGCTCCGATAGCAAAGTAGCTGTCACAACGAGCTGTAGTACAGCATCTCGACGCGTTCCCGCCATAACTGGACACCACCCGCGAACATAGTTGCGCAGGTATGAGATGAGATTAGTGCCCCATTTCACCAGCATCATTCTAATCATTGAGCAAGATAATTTTGGTGTCTACGCAAATTATAATCTGGAGCCTCGACATAACTACCACGAACCGTGTCACAGTCGGCCACATAAAACCCACTACCACTACCCCTCCAACAGGAAATAGCAACCAAGAACACCACGAATATATCGCCAGTTATAATACTTGGATTTTACCAACCGCTCGTCTACGCAAAACGGCTTGTACGAGCAGTCACAGCTCGTTGAAAGCAACCTCCTGTGGCCCGAACCAAACTTCAACTCCAGAACCATCCGCACAACACCCACCAAGATGTCCTACTACGATGTCGATGCGATCCTCACGGACGCCCAAGTCAGCCTCCCATTCTTAATTAGCTCCTACCCAGTGCCACCGCTAACCCACCCCAGAAAATCCCGTGCCACTTCACCCTCGCCGTCCCCGGCCTCGGCCACCTGGACGCTTCTTCAACACCAACACTCAAAGCCTCCACGCCTCTCTCCCTCCCCCTCTGGCTCGCCGAAACCGTCGCTCTGAATTCCCCTACACCGCTGAAACCCGTGCTCTCACTCGACCTCCCCGAGGCTCTCTCCCCTGCTGTTATCGCAGCCCTAAAAGCCTCCCCCACCTCGGTCGACCTACGTGCCCAGACGCCCTACTTTTTTGCGCTCGCGGCGCGCCTGCTAGCCTTATTTGACGATGAACCTATGCTCGCGGTACTACAGGACGCGTTTAAGAAGAGGTCGAGGGAGATTGTAGATCATGCGAGCAATGTCGGTGGAAGGAGTGGGGCGGGTGTGGCAGCAGAGGCAGTGGACTTTTTGAGGGGCCTCGATGAGGAAGAGAGGAAGCTATTTAGGGTAGCGCATGAGAGTGCTAAGGCTACGAAGGCATGGTTGGATGATGAGAAGCGTTGGCGTTCAGGAATATACCCTTTTTAGTTGATTTGGGTTTCGTGATATGATAATTTGTGCTGCTTGGCAACTGCAGTTACCCTAGTGATTCGATAGTGTATTTCTTATTCTCTTCCATTATTATCCCTTCACAATATCTTCGTATAGAATATTGTCATATGCACTACACGTGGGGCGGATCAAGGTCACACATGGACGAAGGCATATGCAAGAGATTGCACCTAGCATGTTTAGTATTTAACGTACTTCTTGTAACCACTATAACCTTGATACCTACAACCTATATTCAGTACATCCACTACAAAACTATCCCTTCTAGCTTATCTAGGTGGCTAATGGTTTCTATAACCTGGTCACGTGAACTACATAGCACGTGTTCGCTAGGTTTCCAATTTGGGCGGATGACCACCGGTTTAGAGATTCAGCTTCCATGATAGAGCATCGTAATTGTCATCGTGAAGGTCGCCAATCTATCATCTTACCGCTTGAACCGTTGTCAGGACCAATGGGAGCCAATGGCATTGTATTCTGATTGAATCCCGTTGTCAACATACTCCATACTCGGACGACGCCTCGACGACACAAACATCACTAGACACCACATTTATACTGCACGGATGTATCCTCATCCACTACGAATCTCATTTATATACAATTATAGCCGGAAGTGAGATTATTCCCGGCGATACGTTGGAGTTGCCCCTTGGGAACCGCTGACGACGGCAATTATCGGAGGCGCAAAGAGAAAGCACACCCAGCAAGGCTCCAGGCGACCTGCGGCGCAAACACAATGACAACAACCGACCCCAGTGAAGTCGCAGACAATGCGAGCGCCCCCAATGGGGTCCCCTCCACGAATAATTCCAGCGGCCCGTCGCCCTTCGTCTCCCAGCCCTTCTCCGCCGCCACCGAAATGATCCTCAAGCGCCTCCGAGGAGAGGGCGGCCCTCTCAATCCCACTTCCGTCTTGGGCGTCGCCTCCCAACACCAAGTAGCGGCATACGAAGACGTGCGGCGCACTGTGTTGGAGGGCATGAAAACATCACATAACATGGAGTTTGCCGCCCCTACACCTACGCCTCGCCGACCTCCCAAGGCGCCCCGCACTGGCAGCGCGTCGGGGAAGGGATCAGCGAGCGGGACACCCGTAGGGAAGAAGGGCGGTGCGAAAAGCCGGAAGCGGAAGAGGGTTAAAGATGAGAGTGACGAAAGCGCGGGGGAGAGCGAAGAAATGAGTGATTTGGGAGATGAGGACGAGAGTGACGACTCGGCGTCGGTGACGGCCTTTCCGAGCATGACACAGAGTGGGCGCAAGGTTGTAAAACCTACACAGTTTGTGCCCGAGGTTTCGGCGGCGCCTCCGAGGAAACGAAGCGCGCCAAATCGACGGCCAGGGCCAGGGCCAGGGCGGAATGTGGAGAATGCGCTCTGTAAGAGGTGCGGACGCGGGCACAGCCCGGCAAATAATATGATAGTCTTCTGCGATGGCTGTAATATTGGGTGGCACCAAATGTGCCATGATCCGGTAATAACAGAGGAGGTGGTAAAGGACAAAACTACGGAGTGGTTCTGCGTCGATTGCACGGCGAAACGGGACAAGAGGAAGGGCGAGAGGGCAAAAACCAGTACGCCGAAAAGCAGTGAGGATACACCCTGGGCTGGGAAGAGTGCGACAGAGGTTTGTTTATCTCCCTTCCACTCACAAGCACAACTAACCGAGATAGAAACGCGCATATCTCACATCCTTCCCATACAGCCACCTCGTGGATCTCCTCCTCCAAGCCACCACCCTCCATCCCTCAATTCCTATTACCCCACCTTCCACATCCATCCCATCAAAGGCCATACGCCGCGTAAAAGTGCACCCCCAGCAGCCCTTCCCGCCCTCCTCCACCGCCGCATCCGGCCTCTTCCCCCGCGCCTCCGCTAACCCAGCAGCCCCTATAAACTTCATCCGCAAATTACCCCTGGGCGAGACGTCTCCCGCGTTCAGTACTCCTTCAACCGCAGTAGCTGTGCCCGCGTTGCCGCAGGCCTACACGGATGCAGATGCCGAGGGCGAGGAGGACGATGCTATGAGTCGTGAGAGCACACCCGCAAGCCCGCCGTATCCGAGGCCTGGAAATGGACTCATGGCGCGCTTGAAGAGTGATGTGGATGATTTGGAATGGCTTGTGGGCGGGGGAGGTGGGGAAGAGGAGGGCGCCTTTAGCCATGTTGTTTTTGATGGAGGGGAGGCGGGAGTGGAAGCTTAAATGAATGCTATTAGTTTGGACGGCGAGGAGGGGGAGTAAACACCGATAGATATCCTTAGCTGCTAGCAATAGCATAAACCTAGCCACCAACAATAGCATATAACAACCTACTCGAGTACTAGCGATAACATCAAAAATATATAAGATCTAGAAGTTTTGAGGAAGCTGCGACTGAGTCTTTGCTTAGAAACGTACCTTCCATATATAGGGGCTAAAAGCTCTGAGGAAGCTGCGATGAAGCTTTGCTTGGTAATCGTTTTTTCCTATATAGCACCTGGAAGGTCGCATGGTTTGATTTTGCGTGCATGTCAACTGCCATTAACAATTAATAGGTATGTATCTTACAAAACATTATAAACATCTCTGAGGCCAATCTATCCTTCTACCTCTACGCCGCATCCCCAACCTTCAACCTTCCCTCCCACTCCCTCCTCAACCCCTCCAGATATCCCCACACCACCCTCCCATCAGCCACAAACTCCTCCCTGGCCTCCGGCGTAAGGTCAACCGCATGAGGAGCCCGTCCCTTCTTCTCCCCTTTCTCTCCAACATACCCGCTCCACCCCCAACCCACCACCTCAGTCATCCTCACCCTCTCATTGGCCCACCAATCCGTGCTACTACCCCACTTGATCTTACCCTCGGGCCCAGCACGCGTGTCGAGCGAATCCAACATCGACTGGTCCGCAAGCCCAAGCCAGACCGGCGCTACGGCACCCAGATACCCGACGATCGGATGCCACACGCCGCCCAGGACGCGGGCGATGTAGAAGCCGAGCGCCATGAAGAAAGCAGCGAACGGGTTCATACCGCTAATATTTGTGTGCAAGATCCCCGGCTGCGTGACGTAAAACTCCGGCCTGACGAGTTTGATCTCGGCCTCGTCGTCGCTTTCCGGCTTCGGCGCGATGGAGTCGCGCATCGCGAAGAAGTCGTTGTTGATGGGCTGTATGGCGGGGAGCTTGGCGGTTATGCTTAGCAGGTCGGTGACGCGCTTGGAGCCGTAGTAGGGGTTCGAAGCGGTGAAGCCTTGGAGGTCGTCCATGGAGATATCGGTTGGGTTGGGCTCAAGGGTTGAGACCCAGATGACGCGTGCGCGGTCGCCGGGCTCTCGGTCAAGGGATGTGGAGAGTAGGGGCATCAGCTCATGGGCGAGGAGGTAGTGACCGAAGACGTTGGCGCAGAAGACCTCCCCAAGTGGTGGTTCCTCTGTCAGATCGCCGTTGGTTAAACTTTCTGTTTGGGCGTTTGTGTATTTGTTGAATGACGACTGGTGGCGCACGACGGCCGCGGGGGAAGGGAAGTTGAACCATTTCCAGTACGAGAACGAATCGGGGATGCCGACAATTGCTTTGTAGATAGCCAGCACCCACGGAATCCCGGTCCATCCGCCGATCCCCGCATTGAGATACAGAACGTCGAGCCGTGGAATTATGACGTTTTTCAGCCCTGGTCGTCCATCCTCGATGTCTGGGCTCGAAAGTCCACCCTCCTGTCCGCGTATCTGCGATGCAAACTTATAAATGCCCCTCAGGTCACACAAATCAACTTCTGCGCCGAGGAAGTGGACACGGCCTACAGCGTCGCGCAATTGGTATTCTTTGGTCTGAGACGAAGCGCGCTGCTCGAGCTCAGTCGAAGTCTTCGCAAGAGTCTGGAGATGCTGGCGTAAAGAGTTAATAGTCTCGGCGGTCTTTCGGGGCGAGCGCGTGGAGACAACGATGATGAGGTGGGAGAGCGGATCGCGGGTCGGAGAAGTTAGGAATTCGTCGATGAGGCGCTCGCAGGTTGCCAATCCGAGGCCGCTAGAAGATTGATGTCAGGTGCCGTCACGAAGTCAGAGAGTTGACGTGGAAGGATTTAAGGTCTCGTACGAATTGGAGCCAGTCACAAGGACGAATCGCTGGCTGGAACTACCTGTCCAGGGTGGTAAGCCCATAGTGGGTGAGGCTCAGGGGGTGCCAATGGCTTCCGTCTCGACTCCTTTGGTGCGGTAAAAAGAGGCAATGCTCGGGGTAGGTAAGGTAATACTATAAGCTAGTGCTGCCCCTTGAGAGTTAAGTTGTGGTTTCGTGGAAATTGGAAGTTTTTCCATCCTGGGTGGGGTCTGAACCAGTCCGGGTCTGGAACCAATTCCCCCCTGACTAAGGCGGATCTAGTCAATTTTAGCTTATCGATGACGACGCCATGGATGTCTGTGCGTCGATTCAATCCACATCCATCAAGGTGCTGGGAGCTTAATTGTACAACCATAGCTGACCAGGTGCTGTATTTGTATTGTCTTGTACGACTTTTTAGAGCTTGATTATTTAGGGATCATGTTTAACTTTTCATCTTGCAGTTGTGCAACCTGGCTCACGGTGCGGAGAGAGGCAGTCGAAGGCCAGCGATGCGACGGCCAAGCACGCTCGGTTTCCATTGGAAATGACCTCTCCTTGACTCGTGGTTGATAAGCAACACCACCAACTTGCCATACGTATAATTATTCTATGGTGTCTTTCCCTACTCCAAAATACCATGCTTATAATGATTATAGGTCTACAATATGCACGGGCAAGTTGGATTTCTATGAAGTGGCCGAGAAGCTCGAATGGATATGAACGCGATCAACTACCCGTCGTCGAGCGCTATACGCTCAAACCCATCAAGGTCTTGAGGAAGCGTACTTGTTGGCAGATCTAGGCAATGTCTATCGGCGGCATGGCGGCATGGCGACTCAAATAATGCCGTTTTAGCTTATCAGATGGTGAAGGTGCCAGAAATTACGGTTTGGAGCCACTTAAGACCCCGGAAAGAGATAGCTCAGAACAAGGAATTGGGGGGGGGGGGGGTGGGTTAATTAGATGTGATCAGGTTTTGTCAAAGGCTGTCCAACTGGAATATGGCCTTGACCAGCAGAAACACTTGCCCGAGATATACTCTACGGTGCGCAGGGGGAAAAGACCACGATACTAGACCACTAAGCAATAAGATCGAGGACATACTGCAATATTTGATTTATGACCGGCCGGAAGTTCACAACTCCATCTATGCCTGGCAAGATTTATGGGCAAGATTTTGTGTTTTGATCGGACTTGAAATAATCGGCTTCGAATCTCGGCCGAGATCAGCATTTCCGAGATCTCCACCAGACTGTTGGAGAAAGATACGGGAGCCTGGGGAATACGGGCACTTTAGGCCCAGAAAATTGGGATTTCCCAGGCGACCCGTCGGATTCTCCATTTGGGACTCGGGGTGGATTGGCATTGAGGGGATCGTAATTAAATCACCCGAACCCAATACCCGAACCCCTATTCTGGAGAGTATTCGGGCTTCCCCCGATGCCCTACAAATACAGTACGTAGGCCCAGTAGATAGTGTAGTAATCAAAATCAATTCATTATTCTATATACTGTAGTCTACTGTCGAGTTTTCCTACCCGTTGCGCAAAAGCCCGAAGGTCCGGTCACCAAACACACCGCACGATTTGCGCGTGGTCGCAATATCTCGATCCTTCCTACAACACAGACACAGCCAAGCATAACTTCACAACTCTCGCCGTAACTTTCTTACATAGCAAAATATTGATCCTATTACGAACAAGAGAAAGTAAAAAAGCAAATACTACGATAAATGGCCATTGGCGGTCCGTTGGTTTCCGCTCCGAAACATCCCTCTCCGCGAAAACGGGGCAGGTACCACACAGTAGCGCGCGGTTATTGACGACTCCCCGCCACCGATCTTACCCTCGTACTCGAGTAACTTAAAACAGATGGAACCGAACGCCGCCGTCCCGTCCGGGTTCGTTCTCCACAGTGGGGTAAAATAACCCCTCGACACCGATCGTCGACACCGATCGCCATCATGACGATGGTAAATATTCGAAATTTCTTCGTTGCTGATTATTTGCTTGTGGCTTCAAGCTTTCGAACGCCGCTCCAGCTTCGCGAACACCAGACGACATGACCGATGTCATCCACCTGCCAAACGGGCATAGCCTCAGCGTGGGACCGGTGTTTGGCGGCTTGTTCTTCAAGCCCAGCGAGTTGAACGTGCACAGCGCCGTATTCCCAAAGGGATGGACCATTATATTACAGTCAGAAGAGCTCATCGACGACCCTAACTCCGCGGAGAGGCCCAGTACGCAGGACGTTGAAGGCAAATCGACGCCAAAAAAACCCCACATTCATAAATTCTCGAAACCTACCCTACAAAATGATTGCCTATTCATTAGCTCGATATCTTTCCCAAGCGCAGATAACTTCAAGGCGCCTGCGAGTCCTACGAGGCAGGTCGCGGTGATGCTATGGGCCACTCTGTACTGGTACTTTCACCAGACCGAGCCCTCGCCCTTTGTCACAACGGAGGCCTCAAAGAACACGCCCGACAACGGAAAACCGAAGGCAGACTGGCGTATAAAAATAAAGAGAGAGGGTGTCTTCCGTGGAAGGAACCTGCTTCCCAAGCTCGAACGTATGGGCCTGATATGCTCGGAGAACTCGGTGGTGGGCGCAAGTAGCGATAATACTGAGGGTTGGGAGGAGATGTTCACATCCCGCCGTGCTTTTTGGCAGCTGTCACCGAGGCTTTTTCTCTTCACCCTGTCGCCAAATACAAATCCTCTGTCGATGCCAGGGTCGCCTTACGGGAGTCCAGTTGGCTCCCCATCTCATAGTAAGACAAAGTTTGAATATGGCAGCGCAGACCTCCATGGTTTCACGACCAGCCCAGGACCTCAAACTTTATTGGGGAAACCCATCCTTCCAGATCCCTATGCGTCTGGAAGTCACCTTCCAGGGTACTACCCTCCACCTCCCCTCCAATACATAAATACAAATGGTGTGCGTCACCCCATCAGGCCGAAACCTCCGCAACAGGGCGAGACGTTTTACACGCGCTATATCTCCAGTCAGGGCGAACAGCTAAGCTTTCGTGTTGCTAGTTTGAGTGATAGACCTGTTGTATACAACGGTTTAGAGTCTTCATCTAGCGTTGGAGTAATACCCTCCCCATCGTCAACTCACACTCACACGCCAGCTCCAGAAGGGACCGACACGCGACAGATGACCGACGTCCAGCTCATCCACAAATGGATGAATGACCCGCGCGTCTCTAAATCCTGGGGTTGTGACGGTCCCATCGACGTTCAGGAAAAGTTCCTGAGCGGCAACTTGGAATCCAAGCATTCTTTTCCCGTAATCGGGTGCTGGAATGGGCGGCCGTTTGGGTACTTTGAGCTTTACTGGGTGAAGGAGGACTTGCTGGGCAGGCTTCTCAATGCGGGTGAGGCGAAGGATTGGGATAGAGGCGTGCATGTAGTGGTTGGAGAGCAAGAGTTTAGGGGCGCACATCGATTGAGCAGGTGGATCAGTGCGTTTGTCCATTATGCCTTGACTGCAGATTATAGGACGGAATGTTTGGTCCTTGAACCGCGGATTGATAATGAAAGGTATTTTATGATACGCCGTAATCGTGCGTATGAGAAGCTCACACTGTGTCCAGGTTCATCAGGCAACTCGAAGATAACGGGTTTGCGAAGGAGAAGCAAGTCGTATTTCCGCATAAGACTTCGTGGTACATGCGCTACAAGAGAGAGACGTTTGACGGCCCCGCATTATGATATAACGACATTTTTTATATATAGGCATATCCTCAATACCATCCCCAATCAATTGTTCGAATTCAGCTGTCCATGCAATTGACGTATGTCAGCGAGAAACATGGTCCCAAATGTGCAGATCTACACCTTGCGAAAACATTCGGAGCCCATTTGTGGCATAGAATTTGCATACGCACAATGCTTGCCAGGTATCGCGGAAATAAAATTGCTTTCAAATACTTATTCACTTCTCGATGTCAAATACAGGTTGGTGCTCTCAACAACTCCAGATTTGGATGGCAAAAGGGCGGACCAAAGCACTCCGGTCTAATTTAGCATAGCTTCGGCCCTTCCCAAACTTCTCCAATTTTATGGGGGGTTATAAGTGCTCGATGTCCACAGTTCTTCTTGTTTGTTTGTTTAGCCCAGGCTGTCATTGATCATGAATTCCCTCGGATTGAGTGCGCCTCTCTTTGCAGGCAGGCATTGGCCCTGAACAATGGTGAGCCGAAGATCTAAGATATCATGTCTTTGACTATGCTGACATTGTGAAAGGCGTTGGAAAACTTCCCACCATGGGCTATGATACGTACAATGCGTTTGAGAAAAACTACGACGGCGTTTTGGCACTTGAGCAAGCTAGGCTTATGAAGGAGTTCGGGCTTGTAGATGCGGGTTATAATGTAAGTACCCAAGACATACCATGAAGTGAAACGCGGAGGCCAATCTGATTCTTCGCAGACATTTATCTTAGACGATTTTTACGCATTGGAGAACCGCTCTGAAACAGGCGAAATGATTCCCGACCCTGCGAAATTCCCAGACGGAATGTAAAGATCCCCCGAATCCATAAGAAGCCGGATCTGACATGAGTAACCAGGCTGAATATGTCCCAAAGTCTGAACAAGTATGGCCTCTCAGCGAGCGCATATTCCTCGAACCGGTATAAAACCTGCGGTGGTTTACTTGTAGCCTATGGCCGCGAGTTGCAGGACCTTGAGACGTGGCGGAGCTGGGGATGGGGAGGCAAAGGCGCCATTGTGAAGTACGACCAGTGTGCGGCGAATCATCTCCCGAATACGATTCGGCGATTTGGTGATTCATTCATATTTTTGAGGTATTCGCCGAATCATGACTCGAATCTAATTCGACTCATGATTCGAATCTTTGAGGCTTAAATAGAGTGTATAGAATATTGAAAACTATGGAAAATATTTAACTATGCCTAACCTATATCTTCACTTGCATCTTCGACATCCTCATCTTCGACATCCTCATCGTCGACAATTATCCCCCAATCCCGTAGACATAGTAAATATCTAATTGTTGAAGGAAATAGTCTATTCCTTTTTGTGACAATGTCAGCTCCTTGGCTAAAGACCCGTTCTGATGCTGCTGATGTTGCTGGAATTGCTAAATAGTCTCGAGCTATTTTTGCAATTATTGGATACTGATACTGCTTTGCTTGCCAATATTTAAGGATATTAGTCTCAGGCTTATCAACTCCTGGCTCATTAAGCCACCGTCTCCATTCAAACTCTTTTGAAGTATAGGCTTTCGATGCTTAAACATCTCATCCTCAGAGTCCACTTCTTGAGGTATATCCTTATCCTCGTTATCAAGCATAGCATCCATTTCCTCTGCTCGAATATCATTGTCCCATGCTTTATACTTGTTATAACAAGCTGCAAACTATGCTCTTGCTCGTTCTTTGCTTGTGTTATAAAAGCTTTCAGGCAAATAGAAGTCAAATATTGTTGCAACTATTGAATGGCTTGACCGTTGGCTTGTGCAAGTGAGAAATAGTCGTTTAATTTGTTGAATGCAGCAGTACAAGCTTCGTTGATACATGTATGCTTAACAGTCTTCTTGATCTTCTTAATTTTATCCATTGACAATGCATTTTGAAGCATATGGTATGTTGAGTTCCATCATACTGGCATATCAATTGTAAGAGTAACAGGCTTGATTCCAGTGGCTATAGCGTGAGAACGAAGACTACCCTTCCACCCTCGACAATTCCTAAACACATAGATGTGCTTGCGGAGCATTGTTAAAGCGTTAACAACTTCTTCTTTTTCGGAATAGATAGCATTAATCCGAGTATAAGCTAAACCCTCTTGAACTTGATAGCTATCAAGCTCTTCTGATGGTACAGCTTTCATCGTCATAAGAGCTGCTTGAACAGCTAGATTTATAAAATGTGCCATACATCGTACATCGCCATCTTTCAGTAAAGCTCCATGGCTGATTTGTTGTTGTTGGAACATCTGCTACTTGTAATGCTGACTTCTAAACGATAGAAGCACAGAGGTTTCTTGTGTAAGGTTGACTTGACAGAGGAGGCAGGGGATTAGACACAAAGGCTTTAACCATGTCTTCTTCCAAACATACCAAAATCAAAGAACGTCTTGCTCTTTCCCAAAGGATATTGGCTACTGGCTTCGAGATGCCTTCTTGTAACTGTTGCGAAAAGAAACACTTGAAGTGTGTTGTTTCTGACGATTCGAAACGCTGTAGTGAATGTGTTCGCGTCAATGCGCGGTGTGATGCTGTAACGCTGACTTCTAAACGATAGAAGACACAGAGGTTCTCTTGCGTAAAGGTTTACTTATCAGAGGAGGCAGGGGATCAGACACAAAGGCTTCAAGTAACACGTTACTAGTATATAACAAATACTGTATTGAGTTGAGCACGAAGCTCCTATCTAAGAACTAACTATCTACTTATATAGTGGCGTCGTGCCTCATGGGTAATCTGGATAGTTGGCGGATAGCTAGATATTCAGGATAGTTCGTGGATAGCTCAACTATCCAATATCCACTAGTTTCTGCAACTATCCATTAGCCCCGTCACATGGCAGCCTACCCCGCTTGCCCCCTGTGACTCACACGTCACGTTACTAGGCCCTGGTCCTGTAACCATGACGTCACGTTACTGTAGCCGTAACACTAGGTCCTCCTCCAAAAGGCCTAGTCCCTTAGGTCTTGCTGATTAAGGAATCGCTTACTTAAGTAGGGTGATGCCCACTTAATTGTCGAGCAGGTTGCGCTGCTTACCATGTCTTCTAGTAGACACATAAAAATCAAAGAACGTCATCTTCTTGCAGACCGTATTGAAAAGAATGGAAACCTAATGTCGCCATGTTCCAGCTGTCTTCACAACAATCGATTCTGTATTGTTGTTGCTGGTAGTCATCATTGTAGTGAATGTACTCGTCGCAATTCCAAATGCAACGCTTGCGCCCCTTCTCCAACTGATTGGGAGAAGCTTCGAAAAGAAGAAGTGCGTCTTGAGGTAGAAGAGGAAGCGGCGGCATCTCAGGAGCGAGAGGCTCACCTCTGCGCTCAAGAAGCATATGCCCGTCGCATGCATCTTCGCAAACAGCAGAAGATCAAAACCTGCGGTGTTGAGATGCTGCGTCGTGGTCTGAAATCTTTGGACTAATTGGATGAAGCAGAGGAGAAGGAGTGTAGGGAGGCAGAGGTCAAAGGGACTCTCTTGCACAGCCCTTCTACTGCCGTTTCCGAGGGTGCTGCCCCTGACGAGGACCTTTTCGTGGCCCTGTCTCCTGGCTTCTTTGATCGCTTGGGTGTCGACGGCGAAACGCCTCCAGTAGCTCTGGACAGCTAAGGTTTCTGACCGTTTCCCATGAATTGTCCGTAGGTTCATAACCCTTCCATTTTATCAAAAACTCTTCTTTGCGTCCTACTAACCTTCTGTCTAGGATCGCTTCGACTTTGTATTCAACAATCTCATTCTCTGGTTGAAGTTCCGTATTGGTCACAATTGGGGTATTTCCTCTTGCTGGTTCCAGTAGTGAGACATGAAATACCAGGTGTAGTCTAGACTTCTTGGGTAGCTGCAGTCTGTAATTAACTGAGCTGACTTTGTTCAATATTTTGAATGGTCCCAATTTCTTGAAGTCCAACTTTGTACTTGGTCGTTTCGTTTTGATATGTTTCCAGAGTAGGTATACTTTATCTCCCTCCTTGAAGGCAGGTTCCACACTGCGCTTCTTGTTTGCGTATGCGGCGGATCATTCATTTAAGAATTGGATGTCCATCGCAAGTTGTTCGTGGAACGATCTCAGTTGTTCCACCACGATCAGGGCTTGTTCAGCTCGTGATTCATCCGGTCTTGGTTGCCTATATGCTTCTTTATCGTAGCCGTAATTGGCAAAGAACGGTGAGACTTTCGTTGCTTCTGTCATTGCGCTGTTATATGCAAACTGTGCGATGGGTAAGATCTGAACCCAGTTATCCTGTTGATGATTGACATAGCTTCGCAGGTACTGTTCAAGGGTCTGATTTAATCTTTCTGTTTGGCCGTCTGTCTGGGGATGAAAAGCTGTTGATAGCTTATGATTTGTTCCCAGTAGCGCCATCAATGATTTCCAGAATTTCGAAGTAAAGAGCTTGTCTCTATCTGAGATGATTTCTTCTGGCATCCCATGATCGGCTAATATGACTCGAATGAAGGTATATGCGAGCGCCTCGGCGTCGCTAGCTTCTAGATATGGTATAAACTTCCCATATTTCGTGAGTCTTTCCGTGATGACGAGGATAGAGTCGTATTCTATTCCTGTTAACGGGTCCTTGGAGGGTGGAAGCTTGACGATGAAGTCCAAAGCTATTGATTTCCACGCTCCTTTTGGTACTGGTGTCGACTTGAGTTGTCCGTATGGCAGATGCCTATTGGATTTTGACTTGCTGCAAATGTCGCACTCTCTTACCACTGTCTCTACCTGCTTCCTCATACCTGGGAAGTAGTAGTGTCGAGTGATTCGTTCGAAGGTTCGTGTTACTCCCTGATGACCGTGTGCTGGTAACGAGTGTTGTTCTTGCACCAGCGGGCGTCTCATTTGACTTGGGACATACACTAACCCTTTGTATCGAATCAATCCTTGTTCGTCGATGGCGAAGTCGCCTTCGACTTTGGACAAGACTCGCTTGGCACATTCGTCTGTTGCGTAAGCTTTCTTGAGTCTTTCCTCGAGTTCTGTATCTTCGATGACTGAGATCGTCGCTAGTAACTCGTTGTACTGTATTCCTGCATCTGTTTTCTTCAGAATTGCTCTATGTCTTTCTTCCTTTGGGCCGGCGTAGTCGGTCCGTCTGCTGAGAGCATCTGCTCTTGCATTCTCGGAGCCCTTGCGATAGGTTATCGTGAAGTTGTAGGCTGCGAGGGTTTCTGCCCAGCGGACTTGTCTGCGGTTTAAAACCTTGGTCGTGGTGAAGTATATGAGGTTCTTGTGATCCGTCCATACCTGCACAGGGTAGGTGGGTCCCTCAAGATATACTCGCCACTGCTCAAAGGCAACGACAATAGCCAGTAGCTCTTTGTCGTGGATGTCGTAATTAAGTTCCGCGGGTGACAGTTTCCTAGAGTAGTACGCAATTGGTTTGAACTTACCGTTCTCGTCTGGTTGATTCAGACATGCTCCAATTGCGAAGTCAGAAGAGTCCGTTTCGAGGATGATCTTCTTTGCAGGGTCAAATGTAGCAAGGATAGGTGCTTCCGTGAACTTCGTCTTAAGTTCCTGGAAAGCAGCCTCTGCCTTGTCCGTCCATTTGAATTTGAGATCCTTTCTGGTAAGCTCCGTGAGTGGTTGAGCTACCTTGGAATATCCCGAGATGAATCTTCGGTAGAAGTTGGCGAAGCCTAGGAAGGCTTGCACTTCCTTGACCGTGGTCGGTGTTGGCCATTCCAACACTGCCGTTACTTTTGCTTGGTCCATCTTGATGCCGTGCGTTCCGATAATGTAACCCAAGAATTCGACTTGGTTTTTATGGAACTCGCACTTCTCTGGTTTGAGGAGTAAGCTGTACTCCTTTAGTTTCTTCAGGACGAGTTTGACATGCTTGACATGCTCCTCCTTGGTTGCTGAATACACCAGGACGTCGTCTAAGTAGACAATGGTAAAGATGTCTAAGTATTCATGCAAAGCATCATTCATCAGTCGTTGCATGGATGCGGGTGCATTTGTTAGCCCAAAGGGCATGACTTGATACTCGAATAGGCCATAGCGGGTGCAGAATGCTGTTTTCCACTCTTCCCCAGCCTTGATTCGGATCAGGTTGTATGCTCCTCGCAGATCTAGCTTACTGAAGATCTTTGCTCCTTGAAATCTATCGTGTAGTTCGTTGATTAACGGCAGGGCATACCTGTCCTTGAT